AAAGCTAATGCTAAACTTATTTACGAAGGAAAATTATTATAAGCATATTTTTATGGGCTTTAACTTTGTAAATTTTATTTTGTTATTTATATATATATATATATATATATGTCTATTAATATATTTATATATATATATATATATATTTATATATATATATATATTTTTTTTTAGAATTGTTAGCTATTTTCTATATATTCTTTAACACTGGAGTAAATTAGATTATTTGTATTCTTTTTACTCCTTTACTTCTTTTTGCAAGACCTCTCTTACCTCGAAATAAAAAGGAGATTTTATACACAATAATTAATATTTTTTTAATAGGTTGCTTTATTTATTTAGTAAATTTAATTAATATTAATTATTGGGAAGAATTAAAAGAAGTTATTGTTACTTATTAGTGTGTTAAATCACATACTTTATGGTTTGGAGTATCTATGATTTTTAATATAACATTTTCTGTAATTTTTATTTACTTGTCTTGGGTATATTGAATATTTATTTTAATAAATATGTTAAGTTTATTTTATTTGCATATACAAAAATTAAAAGAAATTTTAAATTTAAATTTTAAATAAAAATAAAAATTAAAATTAATAAATGATAAAAAATTATATTTTTATTTATCATGTATATTTCAATTTATTTTCGGTGTTCTTAGTCCGCACATTCTTGCAGTTCTTTCTATTTATTCTTTATCGTTTCTTTTAACTCCAATATTGTAGAGTATTAGAAATTCTTCTTATTTTTTAAGTGCGTTTAAATAAATTTGATAATTATTTAAAATTTCATTTGTTATTTTTAGTTCTTCTTAAGAATATTGCATTTATACCTTTTTTGGTAAACTTTTATTTAAAATTTCTATGAATTATCTAGATAATTATTTATATATGCACATATATTTTTATTTTATTATTGTTTAGATATGATAATAAAAATATTAAAATACATATAATGTTATTTAAATATTTTATATATAAATATTTTATATTTGTATTATTAAATAAATATATATAATTATTATATTTTATAATAATTTATATATATATATATTATTTTATTTACGATTATAGTTGAAATAAGAAATTTTATATTTAAAAATAAAATAAAAATAAAACTTATTTTAAAAAAATTTAAAGTAAAGACTTATATTTTAACAAAAATAAAACAAAATAGTTTAAAGCAATAATAATAAAGTATGAGTTTGCAATATTCCAGTAAAGCCGATATCGATGTATAAAATATATCTATATGAAAAAACAAAATATATAATAATAAATAAGTACTTAAAATAAGATGAAATCGGTAAAGTAATATGTAAAGGATTGGCTTCATTGTATTTAGAAAATCCAAAGTTTCCTGTAGATTATTTAGCGAAATGGCTATTGAATTATTCTGCATCATTATCAAATGAGAATAAATTAGAAGGAATATTATAAGAAAAAGAGGTATTAAAAATGTAACATTAAGAATAATTAGAAAAGAACAGATAAGAATAGGAAAGAGTCCAGTAATTAAAGCTAAAAGATGAAGAAATCGATAATAATTTTGAAGAAAAAGTTAGAAATGAAGAATATCATTAAGAATTATTAGTAAGTGAATTTCGTATAACTTCGTAGAAAAAAGAAAAAATTTAGTTGGAGTTTACATAGGAATTAAAGACTTTCCTTTCAAACAAATTAATGAAGAAGATGAAGATGAAAAAGCTCATCTTGATTAAGAGGCTGAAAAAATTATTAAATATATTGGGTATTCCGATTCTCACAAAGATTTGATGTCTAGTAAATAATATATTCTTTAAAATATTTAAATAAATGTTTTAAATAGATAAGATATTATCAGCTAAAGAAGAAGAGAGTGTGACAGCAGCAGTATTTAAAGAAAGAGAACCAGTTAATGAAGATGACCAAGAAAACGCAGGCCCTCCTCCTCCAAACTATGTTTATATTCCTGATCTAGTTAAGGAACCTAGAATGACTTATTTCAGAATACCTAAATTAGGCTCTTATATTGCATTCCCTTTAAAATATAATAGTTATTTAAAGGTAAGCAAATATTAAAAAAAAAAAAAAAAAATTAAAAAAGGAAGAATTCTTTAATGATGCGTTATAAAAAAGATAAGAATATTAATAAGAATTAGAAAAATGGACAGTAGAAAAAAAAGAGAAAGAAGAGGAATTTTAAAAGGAGATTGAAGCTTTAGAAAATGATGAAGAAGCGTAAAAAGAAAAATAGATTGAATTTGATAATTTTCTTGAATAATATCCAGAAGCGCCCAAAGAATAAGGATTTTTATTTGAAGCAAAAGAATATGTTTTATGTGCAGATACTATGGGTTAAGACAGAGAAATATCTTAAGAAGATATTAAATACTTAGAATCTTATGTATAATTATTTGCTAATAGTTGGGAATAAACAGAAAAAAGATTAATGAGTTAAGATATTGACAGATACATTTAGTACTTATAAGAAGCACCAAAAGATTTAATTGATTAGTTAAATGATGAAGAGGCAAAAGCAGAAGAAGATAAAAAATCAGATTATGACCATTTAAAAGATAATGAAAAAGAATACAATTACAGATTAGAAAGTGTTAAATTAGAAGCCTTAAAGGAAATTCTAAAATACGAACATGTTTAAAAATTGTTTTTAGATTTAAAAGAATATCGTGTTTTAAAATACCCTGTTATTCTTTAAAATATTTTATATTTACTTGGGTATACTATGGAGGAAATTAATATACCTAAAACTCATATTCTTAATTGGAAATACGTGAAAACATTATTAAATGAAGATTTCTTTAATTTGCTTGTTAATTATAATCATTAAGGCCCGAAACCTAATAAAGTTAAACCCTATGCTTTAATTAATAAAATAGCTACTAAAATCGAAAAGTTCAATTAATAAGAGATTGATGAATATAATATTGGATATGGAAGACTTTTCAAATGGCTTTAAGACACCACTAGACTAAGAAAAATTGATATTGAAGTTAGAAAGTAATAATATGCTGATAGAGTAGCTGAAATAGAAAAGAAAGAAGCCTAACTTGAAGTTTGGGAAAACGATAAATCTACCAAATTACAAGAAGCAAAAGATGCGGCAGCAGCCTCTGAAGATCCTGATAGTTTCGTTGAAGAAGATTGGATCGCTTAATGGGAGGAAGAGAACCCAAGACCCATAGTCCCAGAAAGAGTTGTATAGGATGTTGATGAAGATTGCTTGTTTGAATGATATTAAACATAATTATTTTTATATATATAAATGATAACACATCAAAATATAATAATGTTAGATTATCTAAATAAATACTTTATAAATTTTATTATAATTCCCTTTTTTTATATTTAATAATTACATTTTATTTTTTAATTGAATTTAAATTAAATTAAATATAATATCTTCTAAAGTTTAAAAGTTTAAGTAATATAAAAATTTAAAATTATATATAAAATTATTAATATATATTGATGAGGAAAAATATATAACGCCTTTTTTTGATGATTGAGTTTTTTATAAAAAAATATAGAATATATAAAACAAAAAATATTAATTTTGTTATTTTCTTTAATAATCATATTACTTTATAATAAATTGTTATTAAATCATTTATAAAAAATTAAAATTATTTTTAATACATTTTTGAAATGTTAATAAATAGATAATTATACTTATATAATCAACAAAATTTAAATTATTTTAAGAAAAATTAGTATATATATAAATATTAATTATATTTATTATTCTTATTTAGATCAGATAATGTATATCTTATTATTAAATTTAAAATAAAATATTTTTAATAAAATAATAAAATAAAAAAATAATATATTTGAATTAGTTAATAACATATAAATATTAATAATGGGACCATAGAAAGAAACAGAAAATAAAGAAAATATCTTAAAATAACAAGAAAAAAAAGAAGAACTAAAAAAGCCAACTACTATACTAGAAGGTAAACCTAATAAATAGAATAACAATTTTATTTAAAATTATAAAAAAAAGAATTAAAATATTAAATTGTATCATTTGACAAAAGTGTTTTTTAAAATGATTTGAAAAACTCTTTTAAAATATCTAAGGGCTTAAGAAGGTTTAAAAAGTATTTAAAATCTCATCATTTTAAAAAAATATGGTCTACTTTATTCCCTAATAATCCTAATGAATATTAATTTGAAAGATTTTAAGACTTTGATAAATCTTTTGAAGAAAATTTTGATATTTCAAAAAAAAAAATTGCAAAATTATCTAAATCTTAAGAAATCGAATTTTATTTAAAAATACTTTTTGTTTGTTATCTTATTTAAAATAAACATATTGATTAAGTAATTATAAATTTCATTAATATTCTTTAATTAAATAATAAAAGGCATATGAATTATCTGGATAATTATTTTCAAGAGTTTTCGAAATAAATAAAAAGCATTTTGATTAATTAACAGCATACATATTTTCTATTATGCTTACACGAGAGAAATAAAGAATTAATTATTATAAATAAGAGAGTAGAAACTAAATATATTTATTTTATAATTTATAAAAAAAATTCTAAAAATAGATAACTATTTGACTCTTACAGATTATGTTGCATTAGACACAATGAAATAGGTTAAGCAACTCTAATTAACTTAATCCTTAGAAATTATTTACATTATAATCATTTTGAACCTGCACAACATTTTATTTCTAAAATTACTTTTCCTGAATAAGCTCCAAATAATGAATTAGTTCGTTTCTTATATTATACAGGTAGAGTTAAAGCTGTATAAGTAGAATATTAGGAAGCTTACTAAAATTTAAATTAAGCTATTAAAAAAGCTCCAGATACCACTGCACTTGGATTTAGAGTTGAAGTATAGAAACTTGGAATTATTGTAGAATTTTTAATGGTATTTTTTTTAAATTAATTATATAATTTTATAATAATAAAAAAATAAAGGGAGAAATTCCTAGTAGAGATATTTTTACTAAAGCTGAATATTGGAAACCTCTTTATCCTTATTATAAATTAGTTTAAACTGTCTTAAATGGAAATTTAGCTGATTTTACAAATTTAGTTAATTAATATTAAAAATATTTTATTTCTGATAAAAATTATTCTTTGATTTAAAGGTTTTTTTTTATTTTTATTTTTTTAATTTACAATAAAATAATTTTTTTAGATTATAATAAACAGTCATTAAAACCGGTTTAAGAAAAATTAACTCTTCTTATAGTAGAATTTCATTTTAAGATATTGCTAAAAAACTAAATTTACCTTAAACTCATGATATTGAATTTATTGTTGCTAAGGCTATTAGAGATAACATTTTAAATGCAAAAATAAACCACGAATAATAATATATTGTTATTAAAGTAATTATTTTTATTAATTTAATTCATATTTATGTACTCAAATTTTAAACATAAAGTAAGAAAATGATCTCTATGGAAGTAATGAACCATAAAAAGCTTTCTAAAAAAGAATATCTTATTGTTTGAACTTATATAATGCAGCAACGAAAGTATCTTATATTTATAAAAATAAAAATAAAAACTAATTTATTTACTAGGCCTTATAATATCCAAATACTGATTACAAGTTTGCAGGTAAAGAAGAAGATGAAGAAGATGAGGATGAAGATATTAGCCCTGATGATATTATCAAAATGATGGAAGAAGACAATTGAAAAAAAAAAATATATTTTTTAAAAATATTTATTTTTTTAAAAAATATTTATAAAAAATTATCCTTAAAAATTTTATTAAAATTAAAAAACATTTTTAATACACAAATAATTTTTTTTTTTTAAAAAAAAATATTTAATATTTTTATAATCTTTTAATTCTTTTTTTATAAAAGTAAATATTAAAATGAATATATAGGAAAATAAAGGAACATAAGATACAAATGTTAAACTTGTAAAATAAATAAAAAAATATTTATTAACAAAAACAAAGATGAAAATATTCATAGCATAATATCTAATGTCTGAAGGTTTAAAAATTATTTTAATTAATAAATAAATATTATTAATAAATTAAAAGGATATACTGTTGCTTAAGAATAAGCAATTAGTATATTAACTGACTTTTTTATAAGATGTATAATTGTTAAAAATAATAATTTTATATTAAAAATAATAAAATTAGATATAAAGAAAATTGGTTTAAAAGCAAAAAAAATATCATAGTTATAAGGAAGAAATGAAGTTAATGTCTTTTAAATATTATTTTTAATGGAGAATAGTTTAGGATTAAGTTTAAGTAATGTTTTAGATTACATGGATGAAAGAAAAGATGATTAATAAAAAAATATAGTCGAAGGAAAAAAGTTACTAAAAATTAAAAGGAAAATTATTTTATAGATAGTATTTTAAATCATTTCAAAATAATATATAATTTAAAATAAAAGGTTTGATTAAAAATATTTATTAAAATGATTTTAGTAATTAATTTGACAATGAATAATTATTTAGCAATATAAAAAGGTCTGAAGATAATTTTTAAATTCCTACTTTATAAACAGAAGATTTAAACATTAAATAATTATCAGATTAAAGAAGTATTATTTAACTAATAAATAAAAAGCCTTAAGAAATATTAAAAATAAAAGAGGTAATAATAATATTTAATTATTTTTTATAATTAATATTTTAAGACTGAAGAAATTGACTAAAATAAAGAATCTGATATTAAATTATTAAAGGCTTAACAAAAAAGATATTTTATTTCTTAATTGAATAAAATTAAAAAACCATTAGAAAATATCAATTGTAAAAGAGCTTTAAATTAAATTTAAACAAATGAGAATTAAATAATAGAGTAAAAGTAATCAACTTAATATAATCCATTTAATGTCCCTTCCAAGAAAATTAAACAAATAAATATAGATGAATTTACTAATGTATGAAAAATTATAAAAGTATAAATAATAAGTAATAAAGATATATAATAAAATAAATTTTTAAATATAATATTATTAAATATAATTTAATAGTTTATTATATATTAATAATATTTTAAAAAATTCAATAATTTTATAAATAAAACAAATTATATATTGATAGTATTGTTAAAAGCTATTTTATTTAAATTTATATTTCAGATTCAATTATTTATTAAAGACATTTAAATATATAAAAATTATTGTATATACATCGATTCCTTTTTAATTAAACCTTATTAATAAACATTGATAAAATAAATATATTTTGTATTAATAATTTGTCAAATATCTCAGAATATATAAAAATAAATAATTTATATTATTTTTATATGCCTAATTAAAAATATATAAAAAAAAAAATATCTTCTCCAAATTTGTGAAAAATATAATCAATAAGGGAGATATGTTAATTAATAATAAATTATTATATATATTACATAAATTTAAGTTTTTATTAAAAATATGTAATTTGTTATAAATCTTTTTTCAAAATCTTTATTAATGAATAAATTAAGGATATAAATATTAATTAATAATAAAATCTAAAAAACATAAAATATATTTAAATGAATACAGAAACATAAGAATAAGAATAAGAATAAGAATAAGAATAAGAATAAGAATAAGAATAAGAATAAGAATAATAATTATTAAAATAATAATAAGAATAAGAATAATAATAATAATTATTAAAATAATAATAAGAATAAGAATAATAATAATAATTATTAAAATAATAATAAGAATAAGAATAATAATATAAATAACAATAATAATTATTATAATAATAATAAGAATATAAACAATCTCAATAAAATTATTTTAATTAAGATGAAATTTAAACAAATTCAAATAAAGATAATCCAGTTTAAAGATCATGTTCTTTAAATAATGAGGTTACATTTTTAATAAATATTTTGAACTAAATAAAAAAATAAAGATATAAATTGAAGTAGTTACATATAAACTATAGGACTCTACTTTATCTAAATATGCAGTCTATTTAATAAAGGGAATTGACAAAAATGGAGAATTCGAAATATATAGAAGATATAGTGAATTCAATAACTTACGAAAAACAATGGTTAAAAGATGGCCTGGCTGCTTTATTCCTCCATTACCTTCAAAAAAAGTATTAGTAAAATTTTATTAAGAATACTTTAAATAATTATTTATATTAATAAAAAGGGTAACACAGAAACTAATTTTATGTTAGAAAGAAAAAAATACTTGCATAATTTTTGTAATCGAGTTTAAACTCATGGATTCCTATATTATTCAATCGAGTTTTAAATATTTTTGAGATAAAAAGATAGCGATATAAATAAAGTAAAATAAGATTATAAATATATTTTTTTTTTAATAATTACCATTAGAAACTAGACTAATTAGCAGATTGCACTATATTAGATATAATAGAAAAATATTAAATTTAATTTCCTTAAATTATATAACATGAAACAACTTAAGACGAAGTGTTAATGGTTGTTTCTTTTTAAACTTTTTTGAAAAAATCTATAGAAGTATTAAAGGTATTAAATATAAATATAAAAATATAATTTTATAATAATTAATAAAAAGGATTAACTATAAACTGTTTAATAATTAAATGAAAATAAATAAAAAACTAATCAATATTTAAATAAATTTTGTCAATAAACTATATAAACTTATGAAAAAAGAATCCTAAGTGAATATACTTTAGATTAAAAAAATACAATGATTTTTTTAGATGAATAAAATTAAAAGTTATCTTAATCTATTGAAAATATAGTAAAAATAAATATTTTTTTTTTTATAAACAAAATAATTAAATTAAAATTTATTTTTATTAAGTAATCAATAACTGAAACAAATAATTTTAAGCTTTTATGTGATTTTGTTAATTATGAATTATAAGATACTGAGGTAATATTTGTTTCTATAAATTTTATAAATAAATAAAAAAGGCATTTATAAAGGCTTTTGAATTTAAGGATGAATTTTGTAATCGTTTAAAAAAACTAGAAACAATATTAAAAGAAAAAGTTTAATATTTATCTGAATTATAAAGCGGTTAAAAAACATTGAGATAACTATTTACAAAAGGTGATGCAGAATAACAAATGAAAGTTTTAAGTTCAGATATATATAATGTAAAATAATAATAATAATATATTTTAATTAGATAATTATTCTTTTATATTAATATATAGATTTAAAAAGAAATTTAATATAATGATTAACTAAATAAATTTATTTTAAAAATTATAGCTTCTATAGAGATTGAAAAATACAAAGTATAATTAAATTTTTTTAATTATATATAATTTTTAAAATATTAGAAACAAAAATAAAAAAATATTATGAGATTTTAGAAGAAACATCTAAATTTGAATAATAATAGTTAGAAAAATAATTAGATTTATGGAAATAAGTTCATGAAATATCCTAATAAAGACTTTGTTAAATTGAATATTAACCAAAACAATTTTTAAATTGAATAAAAAGTAATAAATATATATATATTAAAAAACACATATAAAATTTGATAATAATTTTAAAAAAATATACTAAATTAATTATTATAACATTTATAAAATGTAAATAAATTAAATTCTTAATTTTTAAAATATTAAATATATTTGCTTATAAAAAATATAAATTTCAATATTTTTTACTTATTAATATTTAAAACAAAAAATTTAAAATATATATTAATTTTTTTTTTAAGTTATAAAATATCAATTTAAAAATATTATATAAATCATAAAATAACAAAAATATTTTTTAATTTATCATTAAAAAAAAAAAAATACACTATCAGACGATCTCATTCTAATTCATCTAAATAATTTGAGTTTTCACTTTCATTTACTACTTAGCAATTTTCAGGTTATTTAATATCTTATTAATTAATAGAAGAAATAGAGCTTTCAGAATTTTTCCTTTTACTACTACAACTTTATTCACTTTAATTAATTTAAGTATTATAAGTTTGAATTGTTTTATCATTTTATTCTGAATTACTAGAGTTTAAAAATGAGGATCTTCTCTCTTCATTAGAAGGCACTTCTAATTCAGGAATTTATTCATATTATTATCCTTATTATTAGTCTTATATTTAATTTTGTTATTATTATTAATTATTTTCATTTTCTTCAGCTGCTTCCCTTTTATATCTTTCAATCATTTCTCTAAAAGCATAGTGATTTTTTAAATGTGCTTCTTCTTATTCTTTTTTAAATTTTTGCCTTTCTTCTCTTTCTAATTCTAAACCTCCTTTATGGAAAGCTTCAGCAAATCTTCTTTCTTCCTCAAAAACAGGATGATCATCTAAATATTTGAGATTTGGTAATTTCACTATTAATGTTTTTCTGTAATTTCTAATTTTTTTACATAATTCGTTACCATTTAAATATAATACTGCTAAATTAGGAATTTTGACTAGTATTTCATCCACAATGTTTTCATCATCAAGCTTGTTTTCACTTATATCAAGTACACTTATTGAAGGAACTTCTAATAAGCCTTTTAAAGCTTCAATACTATTTCCGTCTATACCAAGACGATTTCTTTTAATTTATAAGGTACCTAAATTTTTTAAATTATCTAAATTTTCAATCTTTTTTATATCATTTTCAGATAAATTTAGATTTGCTATTAATGTGCAATTTTCTAAATTTTCTATTTTCTTTATTAAGTTTTCCTAAAGGTATAAACTACGTAAGTTTACACAGTTTTATAAACCGCTTATTTCAGAGCATCCGTTTCCTTCAAAGTATAATACTTTTAAGCCTGTAAATTCTTCTAAGTTTTCAATTAAAGGGAATCCTTTATAATGTAAATATAAAAAGTCATTCAAATAAGGGGTAGAATAATAGAAGCGAAAATCACTTTTAATAACTTTTTTAAATATTATTTAGTTAATCGCTTTTCCTCAAATGTATGCATTTTTTTTTTAAAAAAATATTTAATTTTATCTTATTAATATAATTTAAAAAATTACAAGTTATATATTGTTTTTTTTTATAATTATAATAAAGACTATTTAATATATATTAAATTATAATATTAAAAATCTACTAACGATATATAATAGTAAATAACATATGAAAAAATTAAATAATTATTTTTTAAATATGTCGCAAATACAATTAATCTTAAACTATATTATAATTATCTTAATATTAGTATTCTAAAATAGCAATAACTTCTTTTGCCCAATAAAGTCCTAGTTAATTTATAACTAAGAAGATTATATTCAATAAATAAATGATAATAAAATTAAATTATTAATGTTAGTAAAATTTATAGAAATAAAACTGATAATAGCCTTTTTTGATAATGTTGATTAAGTTTTTTAAAAAATTTATATAACAAGTAATATATCTAAATAAAATTTGATATAAATAATGTTTAAGCATAATAATTTTGTATATAAGACAATTAATTAATATCTGTATTAGACATATTTCTATAATTTTTTTATAAATATTATATTAAAATCTTTTTTATAATATTAGAGAAAACTATTTTTATAATCATCCAAATATATTATATTTTAGTTTTAATAATATGATATTACGGGTGCAAGTATATGGAAAGTTTGAGAAAAAGGGTACTCTGGATATTAATTATATTTCATTTTGTCAATATTTACAAATTATAAAATAAATTAATTAGTAACGCTATTTAAAAAAAAAATATAATATTATAACGTTTAATATGAGTTTTTAAATTAAAATGGACAAAGAAATTACTTATATATTATAATTCTTAAAATATAAATATTTTATGCACTAAAAGATTCATGATATTTTATTTATCTATTTATTAATAAAAAAATACAATATCTATATATTAATAAAAAAATACAATTGTTTGTATATATTATTTTTATAATTACTTCATATAAATAAAACTTATTATAATTTATGTTTTTTTTTTTTATATAATATCGAATCCAATAAAGTAAACATTAAATTTTTAAACTTAAATTAATATGAAAAAAATTTGTCGATAAAATATGACTTTTAAAATATTCTCTTACTTTTTTATATGCTAAATATTAAAATAAAATCCAATTATTATAATAATAAAATATATTTATATTTAACTCTATTTCTTTTTTAAATTGATTTACATTTTTGTTTTACTAGATTTATAATTTTCTATTCTGATTATTAGTTTTCTAATTTCTCTTTTTTAAAATAAAAATATAAATGATTAAATTAAAATTGTTTTTCTTGAATTATATTTTACATAAAGCAATCAAATATTTTTAAAAATAAAATAACATATTTTTAAAAATTATTAAAAATTAAAATCATTTATTTCGGCATAAATTATTTTTATGTTTACCTTTATTATTATTTTTTTCCTTACTAATTATAATAATTTAATCTAAAATTACACTTGTGCTTTTATAATTTATAAATTCAATAAAAAAATACATATATACCTAGAAAGTAAAGGTGAATATATAACTTATAGGTTTTCAAATATTTATATATAAAAAAAGCCGACAACCGGGTTTGAACCGGTGACCTTCTGCTTACGAGGCAGATACAATAACCACTATGCTATGCCGGCAGTAATTATATTTAAATCATAATATTAAAATTTATTAAAGTATTTAGGAACTTAAAAATTAATCTAATTTAAAACACTTTTGCTTAATATACATATAAAAAAAATATAAAATGAGATTTAACAAAATATAATAAAAATTACAATTAAAATGTTCTTAATTTAATAAAATTTATTATTTATATTTGTAAATATAAATTTTATATAATTCATCAAAATATATTTTGAAATTTTTTTTTTCTTTTTAATATTTCTGTCCATTAAACATTTAAATTTTAAAATATAAATAATTGTATTAAATTTAATCATTATAATTTCTAAATTAGAGTTAATATATTCTCAATATTCTCTAAATCATAAACTCCTTTTGTTTGACATTATTTAAAGTCTAAATTAAAAGTTTAAAGAAGCTTTATTTCTTCATTTTCTTAACTTAATAATTAGTTTTGGTTTATAAATAAAAAGTTATTATCTATTGATATATAATTTTATTATTTTTAATAATCTTATTATAAACTTTATTTTACTAACTCAAAGTTTTTTTAATTATTTTAATTTTGAATATCTTTGAGAATATCTTTAATTTTAATATTTTAAATTTAATCTAGAAATTCTTGAAACATATTTTAATGTAAATAACTGTTGTATTTTTATTATAGAGCATGAGAAAAATAAACCCATATATCATCCTCAATCTAAGTTTTTTGTATAAAAATACTTATAATAGATAACTAATCAACAAAAGAATAATCTTCAATTAATTTGATGAATCTATGTAGTAATAAAGCCCATAAAAATGAATCTTTTAAATTAAAAAGGTGAAAATAAGCTACATAAATTATAAATCAAGATAATTAGAATTATCTAAACATTCAAGCACATAACTTCTCCAATAATTATCTGTTATATCAATATTCATAAGAACCATAAATGCCATTTATTTCGCATTAAAGTATTTACGATTTTTAATTATGTTTCTTTCTAAAGTTTAAATATTATAATCGAAATTCTTCAAAAAGGAGTACAACTTAAGCTTATTGTTAATAGATAAATCTTAAAACTTATTGCCTTCGCTAATTTCTATGAATGATTATTAAAACAAGTTAGTCAAAAGTTAATTTTAGAAAATTATTTCAGAAGAAGGTAGCTTTTCTTTATGTTAATTTAATAATATTATTGAAAAAATTTCAATAATTTCTAAAATTTCTTCACTTTTTTTTCTTAAAGTATTTCTTTAAACTAAGGAAGATACTCTTTATCATCTAATATATAACTAACTGTCAAATTAAGTTATTTTATATCTAACTTATTATGATTTTTAGCTAAGTTTTTTAAAATTATAAAATTATTGTCATAACCTAAATTTAGGTTTTTATTGTTTTAAATATTATTCCATATACATATGTTGGTTATTTTAAAAAAATCAAGAATTTTTACAATAATTATGGCATATTATGAATTATTTATTGTATTTTATTATAAATATTAGTCAATTAAATACTCAAACCTTGTAGAAACATACTGAAAAGGTTCTAATATAAGAGATATTTCACACAAACAAATAAAGTTTTAAATAAACATTGTATTACTATTGCTAATTTAATTTGATATTTAATTTATTTTTGAAAGATATTTTTTTATATAGAATTCACAAAGACTATTTGCTTAAAAATTTAAAAGAGAAAATGTATGAAGGAGAAATAAAAGCTCTTCTTATGTAAATTATTCTTTATACGCAAGGAAAATTTAATTAAAATTATCTATTTAATTGATTTCATTAAAATAATTTTATATTTAGATTATTTTGAATATTTTAACTATGTTTTTTAATGAAAATTCGTCTATTTTATTTAAAAAAGTCTTCTTAAATATTATCAATGAGCGCTATACATTTAAATTTTTATCTATTTTTAATTCGAATAGTAACTAAAATATTTATAATAATTCTTTTTCGTTATTTTTTATATTAAGCTCTTGATTTTTAATAATACCTGTAGCTCTGTCTAAAATATTAATTAATATTTATTAACTCATTAAGTCATATTATATTATTAATTATTAAATTTTATATAGATCTTTTAATTCATATATACTTATTGTTTCTAATCCTTTAATAAATTTATCAGTTATAATTTATTTAATTTTTTGTTCATCATCGATATTTTACAAGGATTCCAAAATATAAATATATTCTTAAACTCTCATTTTTGATTATCTAATATTAACAAACAAAAGTATTTTCTAAAAATCTTTTTAAAGCTTATTTTCTAATATTTAATATAAATCGTATTTTTTCTATTCTTGAATTATTAAACGTGATTTTCCTTCTCCCTAATATTTGGTTTATTTATATTTACCATAATATGTATCGAAATTTTATATTTCTATTTCTGTAAAAGTCTTTTGATATGGATGAATAAGATAATTTTAAGAAATTAATGAAGAAGAATTTTAAATTTAACTCGTTTTTTTGAATAATGATACTTTTGTTTGGCTTGAAAACCCTTTTTGTAGTTTAAATACAAAATTTATTATTTATTTCTAAATCATTTTTTTTATTATTTAATATATATATTCCTCTTCTACAATTAAAATTTTAAATATATATTAATTTATTTTTATTCTTCTATCAAATATATATATTAGTATAATAAATAAAATATAATGTTTTTTGTTAAGATATTTTAATGAATATATTAAATTATAGTATTTATTTTAGAAATTCACACCCTTAAGATAAGAAAATTGATTTTTAACTTTATCTGTGCAGAAAGTGAAATGATTTAAAAGACTATTAGAATATTTTTTAAAAAAATATATTAATATTGGAGGAATTATTAATACGAATTTAGTTTTGTTTTGTAAAATAATTAATTCATTAATAAAAATAATAAATAATTTTTTTTTTTAAAAAAAATATCATAATTTTTTAAGTTTTCAAAATACTCCTTTATTATCAATAAATGTTTTAGTATATAAAAAATATTTGCTATTATATATATATTAATTTTTAAATTAAAAATTTAAGGTAACTAAATGTAAATATTATATATATTTTGATTTGAAGAAGTAATTACAAATATAAACACTTTAAATTATTACAAAGAAAAAATAAATAATAAATTTCTCTACTTTGATTAACAAGTTAATTAAAATATTAATTAATTGATAGTTCTATATTTTTTGACATATTATTTTATCTAATTTATTTTTTCTATAATTCTTTTTTATTTTATTTTTTAAAAAAAGTTACTTTTGGTTTCTCTCTCTTTTTTTTATTGATTTAGATAAAAATATACATAAAAAAAGCAAAAGTTATTCAAAAAAAATAAAAATAAAAATGTTTTGAGTAAATTAATTTAAAACAAAAATTAAAAACTTGAATTGGTTAGTAATAATTAGATAATTTAAAATCATAACATATTTATTTAAAATTTATATTTTTTGAGAGAAAATAAAAAAAAAATAATTGTTTTTATAAAATATAAAGGCATTAAAAATAAAAAAAATTAAATATATTAGAATAAAAAATAATAAAGCTTTTTAAATTCGACTATAATAATTTCCATAATTAATGTAATTTATTTAAAATAACATTCTATTTTAATTAATTTTTATTCAGAAAAATTCATTTATATTCTAATAATAATAAAATAGATTATTAGTTAAATAATTATAAAATATTACAAATATTAATAATAAATAATTTTAAATACAACATAAAAAAAAGGAAATATTTAATAAAAGATTAAGTTTTTATATTTTATTTAGAAAATATTGAAAGCAGATAAAAAAAAAAATTTTAAAAATTAATTCATATTAAAAATAAAAAATAAAATAATTACAGAAATATAGTAGTGTATTAATATTAAAGAAATAAAAATAAAATATTTAACCTTTAGAAAAAAAAAATATCTCATTGTATATAAGCCCAAAAAAAATTATAAAAGAGAATAAAAATAAACAAAATTTTAAAAGAGTTATAATAAATTAGTTTAAATTAAAAATTAAATTAAACAAGCAATTTTTTAATTCCAATAAATAAAATATACAAAAGCTAGTCCTTATTAATAATTTAATATTAAGAATAATAAATAAATATTATAAGTATTTATAATCTAAAAAATAAATATATAAAATAAAAAAAATATTTGAAAAATTTTAATAAAAATAACTAGACAATTATAAATAAATTAATTTATTTTTTAATAAAAAATTTCATATTATTAATTTCATAAAAAAATATAAAAAAAAAAAAAAATTAAAATATCAAAGATATTATTCAATAAAAAGTATATGTAAAATAAAATACTTAATTAAAAAAAATATATATTTTATAAAGAAATTATAATAAAAGTAATTAAAATATATAATTAAATATAAAAATAAATAGAAAAGATAATATATATAAATATATATATAAAAAAATAAATATAAATAAATATATATAAATATAAATAAATATATATATATATATATATATATATTTTTATATCTTAATTTTTATATATATCTATATATTTTTTTAATTTTATAATTTTTTTTTTATTTTTTATATATTTTTCACATTTGTTTTTATATATCCAATGTAATATAAATATCTTAAGAAAATTATAACTAATTAATTTTTTATTTATTTAAAATTCTTCTTAATGTTGTTTGTTTTTAAAAATATACATATCTCAAATTTATCAAATTAAATTTTTATAAATTTTTTTTTATTTTAAAAAATTTAATTTTAATTTTATACTTTTATAGATTATTTAATAATATTTTTTTATCATTAAAGTTTTAAACATAAAAAAATTTAAAAAATATTTTTCTTTATTATATATAATCTATAATTTCACTTTATAAATATTTTTTTTTATTTTATTAATATAAAAGATATTTATTTTATATATAAAAAAGTATTTTTTTTATAATAATATAAATTAAAAATATTTTATAAATTAAAAAGTATGTGACAGATATGTTTTCATTTCATAAAATTTGTTTATCATTTTTGTATTTAAATAAAAAAATAATATGAATCTCATAAATTTAAAAGCCTCTATGTAACTCTATTTTTTTTATTCAAAAAATATAAAAAAAAGTTAGTTTTAAGTAAGGCTAAAGAAGGTTGCAAAATATCCACATGTTTATACTTTTTTACTTACACAAATTTTGACATTTTTTTTAAGATAAAAATACAATGAGATAACAATTCTGGTTTATATATTATAATTTGTATCGTAATCCGTTATTTTTTATTTTATTTAAATTTATTTTGAAAACATTTAACATAAAAATAAAAATGATTATATTTGTGTATAATAAAATAAATTTTGTTCTTATTTGTTTTTTTGTCAAACATATTTAAATGTTTTCTTAAAGTCTTATTAAGTTTAAGGACAAATATTAATATTTTTGCTAATGCAACTTTAATGGGCAACTACACCATTAGGAAAAAGCCCAAAAATAGTATTTAGAATACCTTTATTGCAGACAGCACATTTTCTATCATTATAGAAAGTAATATAAGCTTTTTTAGCATGAACAACTTTCAAAGTATTATCAAGTAGAGATACTTCTGAAGCATTTTTGGTACACTTAACTTACCTTTTTTTATGCAAAGTTTCTGACAAAGCTTATTATAAAAATATAGCTAAAATATTATTTTAGCTATCAGAAAAATTCCAATCATTTGGTATTAAATCAACAATATCAACAGGGTTAACTTCCTCAAATTCAGAGAATTATTATAGAACTTCAAGAGCTTTTTAAGAATAAAGATTCCTTTTTTCAGACGAAGCTTTTTCTTCTTGTTGTATTTTCAAATATGTTTTGAATAATATAGGGATAAGCTTTTTACTATCATTTAAGCAGTATGATCTTGCTTCTTCGAAATTTTCAAGGAGGATAAGCTTTTGTAAAGCAATTTCATGCTTTTCTAGTTTAGAAAGAATATATATTTAATGTTAGTGCAACCATGAATCTTTTATCAGCGAAAGAATCTATTCAGCATCATATTAGGAGTTAGAATTTTATAGAAAGGATAAAAGCTCATAATATTTGTCTATCTGTTAAAGAGATCGAACCGAATCTCGAACATCTTGAAAACAATAGGTTTTATCAAATTATTAAAATAGCTAGTTTATAAAGTATTCGCAAAGCTTATTATGTAAAGATTGATCATTGTATTTAAAGTTCATTAATATAGTTTACAAATATTCACACTTTACCTCTTCCTAATCTATATTTGGAACTTCATCTAAAAATCTTAAAATTAATGAAGGATAAAATTATTCTGGATCCATTATTGTAAATACTTAATAAGCTTTTTTCAAATCTTATTGTAAAACCCAAGGCAAATATTAAATTATAAAAGCCTCTTTTTTTGTTTCTTTTAGAATTCTGATAGTATTTTCAATAGCTTGTTTAATTAAATTTTGATTTTTTTCGTTTTTTTCAGCTTTTTCTTTCCACATATTTAATGCATCAATATATTTAGAAAAATATTCATAAAACTTTGATAATAAAGGGAGACTCTATTGAAGTTTATCTTAAGCGAGTTAGATTAATTCAATGAATTATTTTTATTATTATTCAGGGGAAATTTATAAATTATTTTAACTTAATAAATATTCAAGTTCATATCGAATATTTTCAGACATAAATATATATTTGAGAAGGTTAAAATCAATTACTTAAAGGATTTATTTTGAATTATTTTAAGACATATTTGGGATATAATTTTTAAATGTATGAGGTGATATAAAAAACTCGAAAGTTTTATTTTATTCATGAAGATATTTAAGATAATAATCTCTTTCAGATTTGCAGATAAAAATTAGAAATTATAAAATTTAATTCTTTGCCTAATTATTTTGTAGAGTATTTTCTTTTGATTTTTTTTTATTTTCATTTATCTTATCTATTAATATTTACATATCTTGTTCTGTATTTAATATTTCAATATACTAACGTACATCAAATAAAATATTCTTTTGTACATTTTCTAAATATTTTTAAGCTTCTTAAAACTTTCCATAATATATACAAAACCAACTTGCATTTATATATAATTCATTTTGTTTTCTTTATTTTTCTGGTGTTATTTTATAATAATGCTATTCAAATAAGCATAAAGCGTCTTCTATTTTACATTCCAATAAAAGTTTTTGTATTTAATCATCAAAGGCAAGGGTATATATACACTTTATTTCTGATAAAGATGCAATATAAATCACTTAATTTGATATTTTTGAATTACTTTAACTTATTGATTTTATTGTACCTTCTAGATCAAACTGAATCTCTTATATAAGCGCTGGTTCGCAATAATTAAATATTTAAATAAGATTTTATTCATAAAATGCTAAGAGATAGTTTTCAATTATATTTATTTGAAAAATCGGTTTATTATTTAATTATATTGTACTTTTAGGAATAAGCTCACCTTGTAACTTTTTTTATTTTTTTATTTTTTATTATATTATTTTTTATTATTTATTCTTTATTTTACTGTAACAAATATTCCTGTGTTGTTTGAAATTAGTAAAAAAATTTCGTTTTCACTTATAATTTTAAAAAATGGCTATATTTCGTTTTTTGGTATGTTATATGTTTTAAACTCTTAATTCTTTGATAAAGATGAATACATGTATTCTTTCTTAGAATTCACCATGATAATATAGTCAGAAACGAAACCAAATATCAAAGGAATTTCAGTTAAATTTATTCTTTCTTTTATTCCTTTAAAACTAAAAGTTTTTTAATCAAAATCAAGTACTAGTGCTTCTTTTTTTTTTGTTATAGCTAATACTTTATGTGGAATAAATTCATTTATTGTGAAATTTACGCACTATTTTTCTATTAAAGTGTCTATTTTTTCTAATGTTTGTCCATTATAATATAATAGAGCTCCATCTATTATTGCAATTACATTACCATTAAATTCTTTTATTTATTCTAAATAAGATTTTGTAAAAAGGCCTCCTTATTTCTATTAAGGAAATTATTTTTAAAGCTTTAATTAATAATTTTATTATTATAAAATATTGTAACTGTCTATTGTAGAATTTTAATAGCCTATAAATAATTAAGATTCTCCTTAAGATATTGATTATATTTTATTTTGTTTAGATAAAACTTAATTAATTTCAAATAGTTTAACTTAGCAGCTCATTTATATTATTTTGTTTATTATTGTTTTTATTAAATATATACAAAATTATTTATACAGAAAATTTTACTTTTATTAAAATAAAAGTAATTTATTTTTTAATATTAGAAAAAAATATAAAAAATATATTTATTTATAAATTAAAAACTAAAATTTAAAAAATAGTATTCTAAATAATTATAGAAAATTATATATTAATATAAAAAAAAAAATTGAAAAATTAAATATAAAATATAAAATAAAAAAATTTAAATATTAAATAAAAAAAATTGTTAAATATTATGATTAGAAAAGATATTAATCTAAAAATGGTTTATATATTAAAAAATAAAATAAAAAAAAAATTATTAAATTAAATTAAATATAAATATATAAATTAAATTAATAAATATAAATATAAATATAAATATAAATATTTTAATTTATCTTAATAATTAATTTTATTTTTAATATATTATTTATTATATCATTTATTAATTTTTTAATCTTTTTTATATTTATAAGAATTATAATATTATATTTTCTAACATTTTTACTTATACAAATATTAGTATTTTATCTTATTTATACTTATATAATAATTATAACATTTTATTATTAATAATTTTAAAATTTCTTTTTTTTTATTTTATTTTTTAAAATTTATTTAATATTTATTTTTTATAATTTATATCAATATAAATACTATTTTTTATAATTAATTTATTTTTTTATTATAGATATAATATATTTTTTTTTTTTTTTATATATTAATGTTTACATATAATTTTTTCTTTAAAATAATCTTCTTTTTTTAAACTGAAATAAAAATATATATTTTTAACATTGTTGGAATATATTTCTTTGTTTTTTTAATTTTTTTAATTTCCATATATAAACTCATATATATAATTTTTCAGATAAACTTTTGTAAATATCAAATTAATATATTTTAATTTTATTTATTTATATTTTTTTTTTTTTAATTATGTTATATTCAATTATAATTTAGTTAATATAAAATAAAATATATACTTAAAATAATTTTTTTTTAAAAAAAATTTAAAAATTAATATTTATTTTTACAATGATTTTTATTATTAAGCTAGAAAGATTGAAATATTAATTTATTTTACAAATATTTAAATAAAATTATCATAAATTTATAATTTTAAAAAGTATATTACTAAAAAAAATTGTAGTTTTAAATATATTTTTTTATATCAAATATTAATTTTGATATAAATATTTATTCCTATTTATCATAACTAATCAGAAGTTAAATTTATATTTTTAGATAAACACATATAATTATATTAAATATATAAAAAAAATTAAAATACATTAATAATTTCAGATTTAAAATTACTTTAAATAAATTAAATCGTTATCTATATTTTTAGCAAAATTTTTATTAAAATCAATCTAAAGTTAATTATTATATTTATATTCAAATTCTTAATATATAAAATATATAGAAATTCCCATAATTAATAGAATAAATATAATTGTTTGTAATAATTATTAAAAGTATTATTATATTTATTTTTTATATCTAATGAATTATGAGCAATAGTTGAAAACATTTTGTCTTTTTTTTTAAGTATATTTATCTAAATAAGATGTAGGAGATATAGGGAGGGTCAAATTATCTTCTTCAAAATATTTAGCAGTAATAAAGCTTTAATTCTAATTATTATTTACTTCATATAAAAGCTATTTAATTAATTATTATTTAATATTATTCTTCAAACCTATTTCTCTTATTCCTTTAAAAGAGTTATATTCATCATTAATAATATAACTAAAATCATTTTAATACATTTTTTATAATATTTATTTTTATATTTTAATTATATTTATTAGAAAATATTTTATGCAATATTTTTTTTAAAAAAATTAATATTTATTTATGCATGCAATTAAACTTTAACTATTATAAATATTTTAATTTTTAATATTTATATATTAAAATTATTTTTTTAAAATATAAAAATTAAAGTTTTTATTAGTTTTTAAAATTATAAATAAAGTTTAGTTACATATTAAATAAATAAAATAATTAATAAATATATTTCTAATTTTATTATAAATAAGATTAATTAATATAAAAAATAAAAAATTTATATGTAATTTAATATTTATTTATTCATCAAAACAATAGAAATAACATCAAATATAACTACAAAATATAATAAATTTTATAAATTTATAGTGTTTTTAATTATTTTTTTAATTAATTATATCATGATTGTAAAATAAATCCACTTCTAGCAAATATCCTTAAATCACTTACAGGGCTATTACAATTTTTCCAAAATTTAATGCATTATGATAAATTAAAATAATCATAAATGCCATATATACAAAAAGTAATCCAACAATCAGGAACCCATTGATTAGGACAAGTAAGATCGCATTATTAACTATTCCTAAGATAATCTGAATCTTCTGGAGTAGCTCCATTAAATATACTACAGATTGATTAATTACATCCTTTATATACAGAGCTATAATATGCTCCTTTACTTTCAAAGTGTGAATATAATTTTATAACTTTTCCATCATTTCTTCTTAATACCATATCTTCTTATAGATCTTATGGATTACTTATAAAAGTATAATCATAAGATTCTAATGTAAGCCAATCTGCAGGCTATTATAATTCTAATTCATAATTGTCTTAAGCAATTAATTAATTTACGAAAAAAATTATACTTAATATTCTTAATTATTATTTCATTTTTTTTTAAATATGTTTTTCTGTTTTTATTATATTTACAGTTTTTTTATTTTTTTTATATGTAATTTATATATAGAAATTTAAGCTTGCTTAATTTTTTTTATTTAAAAGATATGTTGAATAATTTATATTTTTGCTATATTTGCTTTTATATTAATTATTTAAAAGAATTAATAATTTAACCATAATTTTTCATATAAATGTATATATTATTTAAGCAATAAAATTTTGCTACTATTTTAAAATAGATTATATATATTAATCCAATTTTTAAAAATATATTCGAAATTAATTTATTTTGCTTAATTTTTTTAAATAAAAGAATCTGAATCTTAAAAAAAAAGAAATATCTTATAATTTAAAATTAAAATCATTTAAAATTTAATAATCCCTTTTTAATAAAGTAATTTTTAGCGAAATTTAACTTTACTTAATTAATATTATAGACAATATTAATATTTTCAACTAAATTATCTGAATTTCCATCTAAAAGGATGTATCCATTTTCATCTGATGTCCTTTAAGCACTACTAAGTCCACTCAAACTATATGCAGTATGATATATATCAGGGTATTTCCCAGGTTTATCAAACAACCCTCCTTCTTCATTTTGACATAGAAGAATATAAGCCTAGAGTTTTAAATGATCAAAAAGCCTTTTTTTATATATTTTTTATTTATAAAAAAAAATACAAATGATTTTAATAAGAAGTTGCTTAATTAGTAGCTTATGAAATTAGCCTGAAAATACTTCCTTACCAAAATGAGTAACAATTATCAACTAATTTATTAGTTCTTCCACAAAAACCTCCTTCAAAAGGCATTTATTTTTAACCAGCCCAATAAATTAATCTATTCAAATTGACTTTATGTTCCTATCCTAAAATTCTTAAAGCTGCAAAACCACAATAAGTTAATCCACTATGAGCTTCTCCAAAAGGTTCTGGTGCAATTCCTCCCTCATAAGTTTAGCAAGAAGCTATAAAGTCGGCACATCCATCAATTAAAGAGGGAGATTTTATATTTAGAATATCCTATATCAATATTGCAATGTATACACCTCTCATATCTGCTTCTCCACCTTAAGAAACCAAAAAACTTCCTTAGATTTCTTTGTTTTTACATAATGTCAAAAATTTATACATTCCTTCTCTGTCTATTATACTAAGACTTTCTTCAGTTCCTATTTCTATTAATGTTGATATGGCGGCATATGTTGATGCTATATGAGGATATTAATATGGTCCGCCACAAAATCCTCCTTTGGGGCTTTAGCAATGCTTTAGTATTTCAATTATTCCTTTGTGATAATTTTTCAATTCAAATTAAGGATAATTTATTATATTTAAAGCCCTTATTGTCCAAAATAAAACCCATGGATGCCCACAATCATAATATTTAATTGATAGTCCTTTTTTTATTTTATTTATTTATTTATTTTAAATTTAATTTGAACCTAAATTTGTTAATGCTTTTTCTAAATATTTTTAATGAACTGCTTTGTTCAAAATATTAAGCTAAATTTGATCTTGTTCTTCATCTGTAAAAAATTCTTCGTCACTTTCAATATTTGTTTCTCGATTTTATTCAGTTTGTTAATTTACTCCTTTGTTTTTTTACATTTTTGTAAATAATTTTAAGAATAACTCTTTAACTTAGCTTTCTACCTATTTTTAATCAATTTCTGTCCTATTCTGCATACTTTTTAAATAATCTTCCATTTTATATAATTTTTAATTTTAAATATTTTTTATAAAAAATAATTATTAGAAATTTAATAATAAATAAAATTTTTTAATAAATAATAAAATAATATTATATTTATTAATTTCATTCTTATATCTAAAAATAAAAAATATAATTTATAATTATATTTAAAATATATAAATTATATTTAAAAATACGTAATCCTTAGCTATATTAGTAATTTGATTAAATTATTAAATTTTTTTTTTATTCAATATAATCTCTGCTAGCATTTAACTAATATTAATGCTTTCGAAAGTAGTACATTTTATAAACTTTTTAACACCTTAAAGAGTGCCATGTAAAATATTTCTTCCCTCATAAAAATACTCATAAGGTGTAGTGAAAATTGCAAAAAATCCTTATAAAACATGAATAATATTAGAAATAATAGGCAACTCTTTAATAATTTCAAGATTCTAATCCTTTAAATCTTAAGCCCATTTTTGTCCTATATATTAAACTAAATCTTTAATCTCAATATTCTACAGCAATACTTGATTAAAAATGACTTAAAATTCTTTTATTTTTTGTAAATTTATTAATTATAAACTAGCATATTTGTTTTGTAATAATTTTTCAAAATTAATAATATCTTTAATACTTTCTATTCTTATTTTAAATTCATTTATTTGAAAATCTTGAACTATTTTTATAGGTTCAGTTTAAATTATTTCAAATTCATTTAAAAATAATTCTTCTTTTTTTTCTTCTTCATTATTTATTAAATTTTCATTTGATAAATCATCTTTATATTTTTATAAATTTATTATTTTTTCTTTCAAAATTTTTTAGAAATTTATAAATAATTCTTATTAATTTTCTTATTTATATTTTATTATATTAAGAGTCTCTTTTATAAACCTTGATAAAAATTCTATATTTTCTGCTTAAATATAGAAAAAAAGATTTTCATTTATATACACTTAAAAATTTAATAGATAATAAATATTAAATTCTTTTATTATTGAATTAAAATAATGCAACTTTAAAAAATCAGATTTTTATTATTATTATTCTATTTTTTAAACATAAAATATTACAACTTCTTAATTTTAAAACTTTTATTTCAAAGAAAGATCAAAAATAGAAAATTCAGAATAATATAGAATTTTTTGATTTTGAGTTTATATTTTTTTATCAAAATTGTTTTAAGAATAATTTACATTTTGGATACTTATTTCTAAATAAACATTTTACTTTTTTTATTTATCCTTTAATCTTTAAAAAGAAGTCATTTTCAATACTTAATTCTAATCTTTTTAATTAATTTAAAATTTGAAATAATCCTTTAAAATTAACATATGATTTATATTGATTTTTTATATTTAATTTATTTCTTAATCTTCCTATACTTAAATTTAAATTATATTTTCTTCGTTAGAATCACTAGTTTTTTAGGTTTTTTATTTAGTTTTTTAAATTATTTTCTTTTTTCCTTTAAAATCAAAATCTTTACCTTCAAAAAGCTTTATATTAAGAAATTCAATTTTAATTTTAAATTTGTTTCTAATTTAAAAATCATCTTTTTATAAAACTTAAATAATTTCAAATTCTGTATTATTGTTATTATATTAAGATGAGTCTATTTATTAGTTAGTTTTTTTATTTTTTTCATTAAGGTCTTTTATTTTTAAATTAGAATGTTGTTTCTAATTGTCATTATATTTTTTTAAATTATTTATTTATTCAATAAATTCTTAATTTTATTTTATAATGAATTCAACATTAAGATTAGTATTTTAAATAAACAAATATAAAAATTTTACAGAATCTTCACAAAAAAAGCAAAAAACATTTTAGATTAGTATTTTTTTCTTTAATCTCTTTTGAGAAATTTCAATATTTTCAATATTAAAAATATTAACAAATCCAGCATTTTAAATAAATTATTAATCTAAAGCAAAAAAAGGATGGAAAATAGAACTATTATCATTTTAATGTAAAAAAAATGCTTTGAATAAATCTATTTTCAAAACAAACTCATCATTTATAAAATTTAAATTCATTTTTTTTATTTTCAAAATTAATCTTTCAGGATTTAAATGAAAATTATTTTTTTTAGAAAAACAAACTTAAAAGTTTTCATTTTATAAATTCTATATTATGTTTTCAGTTATTGAAAATATATTTTTTTCTAAAAAATCAATTGATTATAATAATTAAATATCAATTTTTATATTTTTAGATATAAAATTTTAAATCTACATTGTATTTATTATTATTTCTTCATTATAAAAATCTCCTTCTCTTATACTTTATTAGATTAATACAAAGTTTTTTATAAGTATATAGTATATCTATATAAGTTATTCTAATAAATATATATTTAAAGTCATGTTTTATATACAAAAATCATTTAATACTATTTTTTGCTCACTTTTTCGCTCAAAAGTTTTGGTGTTTTCATATGAATTCTTATAAATATTTAAATCAAAATTTATTTATCCTTATTATTCTTTGTTTTTATATAAAATTATTCCTAAATTATTATGAAATTCATTTAATTAATTATTATTGTCTTAATGATGTTAGTAAATTATAGAACTTTTTGTTTAAAAACAAAAATCTTCCTCTTTATCTTTGACTCCTATAAGAAAGTAGTTTTATTCTAAGATTTGGAATAAAACTTCATCAATTTTAGCTTAAATATAGGTGAAGAATTCTATATTTTTAATAAATTTTTATTGTTTTATTGCATTTTATTGCATTTTTAAATGAATTTCAAAAAGCTTTAAACCCAAAAAAGCATAGTTTTACTCATTTTCTTTTTAAAGAAATGTTTAAATAGTATCAATCTTTAATTCTATTTCTATCTTTAATAAACTTTATATATTATCAGTTTCTTTAAGAAACAAAACAAATCTTAAACTATTAAAAAAAGAAAATAATTGGTTTAAAATAGTTTCATTTATAAAAATCTTTAAAAAAGAAAATATCATTTTTATTTTATAATCGTTTTTATTTAAAAAAAATTTTATTTATTCATTTTTTTTATTCCAAATTAAAATTTCTTTACTTATTTTACTGTCTATTTTAGTCAAAAATAATATTCCTTTGTCAAAAAAAGCATTTATTTTATCAGAAACATTTACTTTTAAATTTCCATAATATAAAGTTAAGAAATTATTATTATATTAAATTATTTTAGAAGCATCTTTTTTACATGAAGAGCAAATACATTAAAATTAATATTTATTATTCTATTAAAATATGTTTTTTGTCATATTATGAGTAAATATATTGATTTAAAAATAAGCAATTTTAATTATTAATTTAATTTGTTTTTATTATTCCTTTTTTGTATAAAAAAAAGTTTTCTAATCTAAGAAAAATGTTTATTTTTCTTTAAATAATTTTAATTTATTTTAAATTTAAAGTAGAAATTAACAATCAAAGAAAATAAGTAAATTAGAAAAATTAAACTCTAATTTTTTTAGAGAGAAATTTTTATTTTTTTCAAATTGAGCTTCGATTTTATTTTTTGCAAAATAAATATTACTTTTAATTTTATTTGGAATGAAAATTTTTTTTTCTGGTATTTTTTTGCTTCATAATTATTTTTCTTTTTTGATAAACATTTAATTATCATTATTTTACACAAATTATATTCATCTTTTTTAATTTAATCAACATTTAAGCAACTAAAGTTCACATTTAGGTTTTCTTCTTATTTTTAAATATTTATAGATTTTATTTTTATTCTTAAATAATCATCTTATTCCTAAAATTATTTTTATCCTGAAGTTTATTTTCTTTTAAAAATAGAACTATTGACAATTTCGGACATTAAATATTTACTTTTAATTCGTTTTCTAATTACAGAGAATTTTTTTGTAGATTAATACTTTATTAAATATTTTAATTAGACTAAAAAACTAAATCAAATTTATTTTTAGTTATTTAAGACTATTCAAAAAGAAATTAATTATTAATTTAAGTTTGAATTTCTAAAATATTCTCATAATTTTCTTCAAAAAAATCGTTTTATTATAATTAATTGAAATCTGTTGATTATTTAAATACATTTTGTTTAGAACTTTGATTAATTTAAGTATTTTTCTCAATAAATTTTTCAAAATTTTATAGTATTTTTTCTTTATTTTCTTTATTTTATAATTAATACTATTATATTTAATATTTTATGTCTTTTAATATATCAATTATTTCTATAATTTACATTAAAAGATTTAATTAAATTATATCTAAATATATATTTATTTATTCAAAGTTAAATATAATTTAATTATTTTCATTTTTTTAATATTACATTTTTATTTCTTTAAGATCGAATGTATTATTAATTAAATTGGATTTTTGTTTTTTAAAGTTAATTTATATATTTGAAAATATTAATGTGAAAACAATTTTTTTTAATAATCCTAAGTTATTAATGATTAATCAAATTATTAATTTGATTATATAGTTTAAATTTTTTCAATTGTTAGTTCAAAAAAAGGATTTATATTATTTTATAATTATTTTTCTTTAGGAAAATAAAATAGTCTTATATTGATATCTTTTATGTTAAGTTCAGTGTTGAATATTACTTATAAAAGCAAGTTAATACTTTTTGTTTTTTCTTACTATTTCTTTTCGTTTTATTCGTTTTATTAATCTTATATTTTTTAATCAAAGTCTAAATTTTATTCAAAATAATAATTAAAAAAATTAAATGTAAAATCTAAAGACAATCCTTCCATTTGTACAACTATCGGTTAATTTAAAATTGTTTAAATTTATATTGGTATTTTTATTTTTAAATATTTTATTTATCCATTCTATATTTAAATTTCTTTGTTTTTAAATATTTTTTTATTGATTTCATTTATTTTTAATTTTAACTTTTTTTTTTTTTTTAAGAATTTTTTTTTTTTTTACATTTATTCCTTCTAATTCTTCGAAATTTTCTGTGGCTTACAAATCTTCAATATTAATATATTAACCTATATTCTTTTCTAAAGTATATTTTAATATTAATTATAGTCCTTTATAGCATGCTTTGTTGAATAAATTTTTTATTTATTACATCTTTTATACCTTTAATATAAGAATTATATTTTATTCCTTTTTTAAAAATAGTTATAATAATATTAAACTAAACAATAAATTAATTTTTATTATATTAAAAAAATATTATATATAAAAATTGTATTATATTAAATTCTTTATTTACTATATATTAAAGATTTTTATAAATCTTGTTTAAAAATATTAATATTATTTTTTTAAAATAAAATAAAATAAAATATCAAATTTAAAATGAATTTCAAAAATGTGTAGTTTTCCTAAACAAATCTTGCTATTTACAACATTTTTTTAACTATAAAAAAATATCATAAATAAAAAAAATTAATATAATAAAATCAATTAGAATTTATAATTTTAGATAAAAATAAATTTATTTTAAAAAATAAAAAAATAAAAGCAAAAAATATATTAAAACTAAAAATTAATTATTATGTAAAATTAATTTTCATTAATATTAAAGTTATATGGTCCCTAAATAGCTGAATTTATTTCTGCAAACGAGCACTTTTAAATTGATAAATTTGAATAGATATATATATATTCAATATGCTTTAATTTCTAATTTATATTTTACATCTTTTTTTCAAAAGTGTTTTAATAAAAAAGTGTTAACTAGAATTTTTTTTGTGAAAAATAATAGAATTATCAAAATATCGTTTTATTATTAAAATTAAAAATTTAGTAGTGATTTACCTTTATTTGATGGATTTTTATGAAAAAATAAAATTAATTTTTATATTTTTAAGTTTTATATAATATAGATAAAAAAAGTAAAATTTAAAACTAAAGAAAAAAATTAAAATCAAAGTTAGAATTAGAAAAAATAATAATTGAAATTTAATTAAATTTATTTATAAAATAAAATAAATAAAAAATATATAAAATATTTAATTTATTTTAAAAAACAATATAATTTTTTAAAATGGATACCTTTATTTTTAATATTGATAAATTAATTGATTAGAATAAAATATGATGATAAATTAAAAAGTGTTAAAATAAAGATAGCTTATATTAATGATGTCTTAAAGTATATAATCAATAGAATAATCTATTAATAACATTAAAATAATAAATTTACTTAATATTTAAGATATTCTATATGTTTGTGAATAAATAAATGCAAAAAAAAAACATTTTTATCAAAATTTAGTATAATTAAATGAATATTTTAATAAAAACTATTTTTAAATTTTATTTAATCAACAAAAAGTTAATTTGATTTAAAAATAAATTGAAACAAATCATCATAATTACAATATATTACACTTAATTTTATATATTACATTTTAAAAATGCAATATTATGAACAAATTATTTAAAGAAATGAATAAAGGATAAAATTTAATTCTTTTTTAGAATATTCACATATTTTATCAAAATATAAGGTATATAAATAAAAATATGAAAACATTATACAAAAAAAACTGTAATGTAAAAAGTAATATATTTCCTTTGATTTCAAATGAAAAAAACCAAAAAATATTGAAGGATAAACAATTAAAAGAGCATTAATCATAAATAAAGGTATTTGAACTAATAAGATAATAAAAAGTTGAAGAGATTTATAAATTTCTTAAATAAAATCCATATTAAATAGAAATGGTAAAAGAAATATTGAAAAATAATAATAAAAAAAAAAGCCAGATTAAAAAAATTTATGTAAAGCTTCGCATATAGCTTGCGAAGTAGGGAATATTGAAATTTGTGAAATTTCGGAAGAATATAAATGTGATTGGGAAAGCGAGAATATTGAAAAAATGACGCCTTTATTTTATGCAATTAGAGGAGAGAATTTAAATATAATTTAATTTCTTATCGAAAAAAAAAAAGTTAATATTGAACATAAAGAATACTTGTTAAGGACACCTTTTTATTGGGCTTGTTGTTTAGGCAAGTATTTTTTTTAATTTAATTTAATTTTATTCTATTACTTTAAGTATAAGAATTATTAAATATTTAAAAGAACATAATGCTGATATAAATACTAAAACTAAACTTTTGAGAACTCCTTTAAATAAAGTTTGTTTTCTCGGTAGAGCTGATGTCGTAAGATTTTTATTAGATTAGCCTTAAATAGATTATAAATGGGGAGATATAAAAGGTAGAAATCCATTACATAATGCAATTTTCGGACCTAAAGGTGGCAGAGATGGTAAAAAAGTAGTTCCAAAAGGCCTTGATTTATAGTTAGGTACTTTTGGAAGAGATTGTCCTGAAGCTGCTTAACTTTTACTTGAAAAAGGACTTGATGTAAACTTGTAAGATATTGATGGATCAACTGCTTTACATATTGCTTGTTCTTCTGAAGCTTTAGATAGTATTCCTTTATTAATGGCTTATAATGCTGATGTAAATTGCTAGAATAACGTTTAATTTATTTTGTTTAATTTTTATTTTAATTAATTTTATTAAAAAAATGGAGATACTCCTCTTCATTTTGCAAGTAGGTTTGGACATATTTTAACTGTTTAAATGCTTATTCAAAAATATTAAGCTGCCTTACTTGAAATAGAAAAGGGTATTTTTGATTATATTATTAAACTTTTTTAATAGGTTTCAATTAATAAATTTAAAAAAAATTACAAAAAGATTTAGTCCTCTAGACGAAGCTTTAATAGGGTAAAATATAGAAATATATACTTATTTGGTAGAAAATGAAACAAATAAATTATTAATTTAGACAATAGATTAGAAATATAGACATTTTATTAATATATTAAAATAAAATGGAAACTAATTATAAGAAATTTATATAAATCTTTTTGTTTTCAATATACTTTAAAAGAATGAATTTTCAATTTTTTAATGTTAGTAAATTTATGATTTTATTCCTTAGGTTTTTTCTCTAAATGCATTTTAAATTTTAATTGAATTCTTTTCTTTTGAAGATTATTAATTAGAGATTTTTATTAAATAATTATTTAAGTTTAAAAAAATTAATTTCTTTAACATTTTTTATTTAAAATTTATTTGCTAATTAAAAAATTTGGAATTTCAAGTAATTTTTTATATACACATATATATATTTTTTTTATTTTTTTAGAATTATTAAGAATTAATTGAATCGATTTTAGAATTAAATGATAAAGATATAATAAATATTATAAGTTGCTTAAATATTAATATTTTCTAGTATAAAAATCATTTAAAGAAAAACAAAATAAAATATATAAAAATATTAAATAAAAAATATATATATAAGTAAAATTAAGAAAAGAATGCATTACAAAATAAATATTTAGAAAAAACTTAAGAAAATGAAAATTTAATATCTGAATTGCTAATTTAAAAGAATGGTGATAATTTAAATTGTTTTGAGCTTTCTATAATTTTAAAATATTTTGATATTTTAAGTATATTAGAACAATTTAATCTTAAAAATCTAAATATGTAAAAAATTGTAGAATTTCATATCCCAGAATACGAAATATTTGATTTATAGAAAAAAGAAGAAATAGAAAAAATAAATAAAAATTATTAATAAATTATGCTGTTTTAAGAAAACGACTGGAAAATAAACTTAAATAAATCTAAAATAGAAGAATTCCAGAAAGAGAAGAATAAAAATTAATAATATAAATTAATAAATTAAAAAGAAATAGAGTTTTATAATAAAATTAACAATACAAATCAAGAAATAAGAGAAAATATAATAAATGATAAACTCAGAAAAAATAAATGCCAATTTATAGATTAAAAAGAATAATTGGAAAATTAAGTAGTAAAAAATCTAGAAAAACATTAAATAATAGGTGTAGATTTGGAATATTGGTTTGACTTAAAAGATTAAAAAACAGTTTTTGTATGTACTTTATAATTATCTACTTTAGATGCAAATTTTGTTATCGATATTATTAAATTAAAAAAATAGTGTTCTATATAATTAAAATAATTTTTCGAAAGTTTCGCCTTTATTAAAGTTTTTCATGGATGTGAATCTGATATTAAACTTTTAAAAAAAGATTTCGATTTTAACCCTGTAAATATTTTCGATACTGCAAAAGCTCATACATGTTTAAGTTAAATTTTCAATTCTATTTCTTTATATAATTTAGCTAAATATATCTGAATTTTGAGTTTAATAAAGAGTATCAGACTTCAGACCTCTACCTAAATCGATGCTTGATTATGCTAAAAATGATTCATTTTTTACTTTTATCTTATTTTTTGTTATTATTTTTTAAATGAATTTATTATAAACTTAAGATTTAGCGTATGTTTGTAATAAAATGTGCTTGAAATAAATTGAAAAATCTAATCTTAACTTTCAAAAAGTTATAGTTTTTAAAGATTGATTTTGCTTTGATTATTCTATTTTTTATTTTTTTTATATTCTTAGTTATAATTTTTTATTTTTAAAAAATATTTAATATTTAATTTTTATTTTATTTTTATATTCGTAATTGCTTTATCATATGTAACAATATTATATATTTAAGAAAATTATATTCAATATATTTTTAATAAAAGAAAGTTATTTTTTTGAAAAGAAAATTATATATTTTTAACTAATTTATTAATGTAAAATAATAAAATATAAATGGAAAATATAGAAAACGAAATAAAATCATAAAATAATAGCATTTGTTAAAATTCTAAAATATAACCTATTTAGGAATCTTAACAATAAAAACTTTATAAATAATTAACTACAAATTCAACTATATTTTCAGAACAAATAAAAATGATTTAAAATAATATGGGCAAATAAATATTATATATTTTTATATTCATAAAATTAATAAAAAAAAAAGATTAAATAGACTATTAATCGAAAAACGAAATTGATTAAATTTAGATGGAAGAGTTTTATTTAAATAAATTAAAAGAATAAAGAGAAAAAGTAAAATATAAATGAATAAATAAATAATAAATAAATAATGAATAACTAAATATTTATATATATATATATTTATAATTTAATTTTATTTATAAAAGATGGAATATTTAAGATAAGAATTTAATAGGAAAGATTAGTTATTATATGATTATTAAAATGAGATTTTATGCATGAAAGGTATTTTAGTTTTATAATAATTTAATTTTTATTTTTTTAAAGACATGTTGTAAGAATATGAAATCATAAAATAATAATTTTAAAATATGGAAAATATTATTAATTAATAAGAAGATAAAATATACAGATAAGATTAAGAAATTTAATTATAAAAAGATGAGATAAAAAATTTAAATAGAGTAAATTTATAAAAAGATAAATACATTTAAGAATTAAAAGATGAAAATAGTTTAATTTAGCCATTGCAAAATGAAATAGAAGAAACAATGCAAAAATTTAAAATTTTAATGACTGAAAAGGAACTAACTCATAACGAATAAATTAAAAATATAAAAGTTGAGTATGAATTACTATAATAATAAAATGAATAGTTTAAATAGGAATATGAAATTTAAAGGAAAAAAGTATTATAAATTAATGAATTACAGCATTTATTAAATGAGTAAAAAAGACTTAATTCTGAGTTAAATGATACTATATAAACCGAATAAGAAAATGTAAAAATAAAATTAATTATTTTTTCTTTACTTATAAAAATAGAATTTCAAATTACAAAAAAATATATCCGAATTAAAAACTTAAACATAAGAAATTAAAAGAAGTTGTGAGTTAAAACTTAAATTTTAGAATGAAAAATTATTCGAATTATAAGAAGAAAACAAGGATTTAAAAGAAAATGTTGAAAATACTTTATAAAAAAATGAAATATGCAAATAAAATAAAAGAGATTTAGAAAAAAAAATCACTATTTTAACAGAATAAAATAATTAAATTGAAGAGGAATTCGAAAACTTAAAATAAAAAATCATTGAATATGAACTAAAAATTAATAAATTTAATGAAATTAATTAAAATTTACAAAAAGAATAAAATGAATACATTTAAAATTTTAAAATAAAACAAAATGAAAATAAAAAATTAGAATAAGTTATTAATGAATTAAAATTTTAAATTTTACAATTATAAAAAGAAAAAGACTTTTTTGCTTTATAATTAAATTAACAATTTGAAGTTGAAGAAAAAAAAAAAGGGCTTAAGCTTTAACTTGAATAGGTAAAATATATATTCTTAATAATATTAATGAAAAATTAAAATAATTTATTTTTAATTTTTAAGATTAAATAAGATCTTGCAAATGCAAGAAACGATGAATTTTAAAGATTAGAATAATGTTTTTAGAATTTTAACCTTAAAAATAATGATTATTAGTATAAAATTAAATACAGTAAAAACTAATTTTGAAAAGCTTATATATTTATGATTTATATGAAATTGTATAATTTAAACTAGTATTTAAAAAATTATATATTATTTATTATTCAAAACAAACATAAAAGATAAATAATAACTTTTTTTTAAAAAAATACTTTTTCATTAAAAATATATCATTATATTTTAAAAATATTTATATTATTTTTAAATATAAATATAATATATAATAATATTGCTATCTAAAATAATAACCATTTATAGAATTCATTTTATTATTTTGTTAATTTGTTATTTAAAATTTATTTATTTTAAGTTAAGCTTATAATTAATTTATTTTATTCATACATTTAGGATTATTATTAATTCATTATTTAATTTTTTTCTATTAATTACTCTTTACATAATTATATTTTTTGTTCTTCTTTTTAAATTAGCAATTTCTCCTACTCTTGTTTTTAATTTTTATATAAATATAAAAACTATTATAATTCGTATTATTTTATTTATATAACAGTTTTTTTTTATTAAGAAAACTTTAATAATTTTCTTATTTTTCTTTAACCATTTTCTCGATTTCTTCTTTCAACTTATTTTTTCTTTCTTATAAGTAATACAAATTTTGAACTCTATTTTAAATATGATCTCTATATTTTTTATTTAATTCATTAATTTCTATTTTATTTTTTTATATTTCTTAACTTGTTTCATTGACTATTTATTAATAATCAGTTATTTATTATTTTTAATAATCTAAAATTTCATTTTAATTATTTAATGGATGATTTTTTATTTAAATATTTTATTTTTCTATAATATAATTAAGATTGTATTAATTTTGCCTGCTTTATTATTATTATATTTTATATAAAAAAGATTCTAAATTGTATCCCTTCACTAAAATATTTTAAACATATTCATTATTTTCTTAATTTTATATATTTTATAATTATATTAATATTTATTATTCTTAGTCTTTTAGTAAATTCTCATTAAGTGAGTATTTTGAAAGACAAATCCTTTACTTTTTTAAAAATTCTAAATATTGAGAAACCTAATTATTTATTTTTAAATAAAATAATTCATTCATTTTATTATATAAATATTCTATGTTTAATATAATTTTATTTTATTTTAAATTATTACTTTTTTAAATATAAATATGAAATTAAAAAAATATTCCACAAACATTTTTTTTAAAAAACTAAAAATAATTATATAATATATTAATTATTTTATATATATTTTAATATTATGCTTTTTAAAAATGTTTTAAAATTTAATTATTATTTATGTAAAAAATAAAATTGCTTTATATAGAAATCTTATTAAAATAATTTATTTTAATATTTAAATTATTATATATAAAATATTTTCTTTAATTAAAACAAATTTATCTACCCACCCTAATTTTTTAAATCATCCTAATATGCTTTAATAAAATTTTTGCCAATAAGATAAAATTATTTTATCAAAAAAATTAAGTAAAAACCTTTTTTATAATATAAAAGATCATAACAAAGATTATTAAAAAAGCATAAATAACATAAATTTATTCAAATTAAAGGAAAAAAATAATTTTAATATATTAATTTAATTATATTTTTTGTAAATTTTTAATTATTAATAAATTACAACAAAAATTTTTAATTTATTTTTCTTAATTTTTATATTTAAAATAAAAATGAGATTTTAATTAATAATTAAATTATATAATGATATTTAATATATTTATTTTTATATTATAAATAACTGTATTTTAGATATTTTGTTTATGATTTTAATTAAAATAATTTTTTAATAATTAATTGTATATTTTTATAGATATATATAAAATATCTAAATACAATATTTAGGTTTATACAATAAAATAATAAAAAGAACAACAAACAAACAAAAATATATATGGAATATATAATTTCTAGAATATTTTGTATATTTATAAATATATATAAAATATCTAAATACAATAATTAGGCTTATACAATAAAATAATAAAAAAAACAACAAACAAACAAAAATATATATGCAATATATAATTTCTAGAATATTCTTAAGAAATCAAAATCACAAATCACGAACAATTCTAATATTTAATTTCCTTTAATTGGGGGAGCCTCCGGGCATTATCAATAGGTACTAGGTTTATATAGTGATGAGGGCACACCTATAGTATCAGTATACTATAGGGAAATACCGATAGCAAAAGACACCTAACGCTTCCCATGCTTCTCCCAAGAATATCTCTCGCCAATCATTTGTTTCAAACCATAGAATTTAGTCTTGCTACAATTAAAGGTTGCACAGACCACGACTTTATCAAAAAAAACAAAAAAATTTTAGTTTTCCTTTTTTTTTTTCAAGAAAAAATAATAATTTTAGATTACAATAAATTGTTATTCATTAGTTTTAAAAATACTTAGTTTAAAAAATTTAAAAGATAATTTATAATTAAATATTACCTTGAAAGAACTTAATTATAACTTAAAAATATTTTAAATGTTAAATTTTATGAAAATAGTAATTATTGTATATGGTGATGTAGAAAATGAAATATAGAAAAAAATACAATTACAATAAGATTTTATAAAGCATTGAAATAGCAATATGATAATGTTACGCTTATTTTTACATAGCATCAACTTCAATATTAATTTTAATATTAATATAAATGTTTTCAAACTTTACTAAGTTTTAAGAATATTAACATAAATCATCTCTGAGATCTATTACTAAATTAAGAAAGTTATAATTATGCATTATAAATATATTATAAATTATAGGAACCAATAACAAGATCATCAAAATCAAAGAATCTTGCTTCAGTTTACAATACTAAAAAGAGAGATATTCGAGTTACAAAAATATAAAAATAAATTCAAATTCAACTTTTGATTTAAAAGTAACAAAATAAAACAAATTATATTATAAGAAAAATATTAAATAACGAAAAATAAAATAATTATTTAAGTATATAGTATAACAAAAATAAAAGCAAAAAAAAAGGAAATAAACAATAAAAAAAAACTAAAGCAATATATAAGAATCAAAAGTATATAAAAAAGTAATTAAACAACAAGAAAATTAGTATATAATATAAAAAAAAAAGATAAATAAAACTATTAATTTTGATTTTATTATTTAAATATAATAATATTAAAGTATATAATAAATTATATAAAATTAAAAATGCAAGTAAAGATTTAAATATTAAATAATGAAAAAATTATCAAACTAGATATATATATAATTAATAAACTAAATTTTTTTTTTTATATATAATACAAAAAAAAAAAAAAAAAATTAAAATATTTTTATAAATTTTATAAATAATTAATAATATATATAAATAAAAAAGGAAAAAATAAATAAAAAAATAATTATATAAAAAAAAAATTTATAAATATAAGTTTTTAAAAAAGAAAAATAGTCAAAAAAAAATATATTTCAATTAAATTAAATTAAATTAAATTAAATTAAATTAAATTAAATTAAATTAAATTAAATTAAATTAAATTAAATTAAATTAAATTAAATTAAATTATAATTTTTTTTTTATTTATATTATATAATAATTTTTTTTTTCTTATATATTACTTTTATATAGATTATTTATTAAATTAATATTTATATTTAAGCAACTTATTTATAGTTATTATATATTTATAAATATAATATTTGAGAAATAATCATATAGAATTAGCTTATTAATATATATTTGACATCTGATAAATAATACGATTTTTTTTTTTAATATAAATGATTTTTTTTTTATAACATAAATAATATTTATTTTATAGTAATTTTTTTTCATTTATTATTTATTTTTATAAATATTTATATATTTTCGGAATATTTTAAATAATGTATTTTTTTTAAATATTTTTAAATATTTTAATATTCAAATTTACTAAAAAAAAAATTATTTTAAATTTAGTTTAATAGATATAATTAATATATATTTATAAATTTATTAGTTTTAAAATTTATTATTTTAAATATGTTTAATTTTTTGATATAATTTTTTTTTAATAACATATTTCATCTTTTTATAATTATTTTATCAATAATGCTTAGATATTTTAATTAAAAAAATTAATAGTTTTACTTGTATTATTTCAATGCTTAAATTTACAAATTCTAAAAGTTTGCTTGTTTTTTTTTTATTTACAAATTCTTAAATATAATTTAATGGCATTTGTATAAGATTAAGATTAGTAAATTCATAAGTATATATAAAAATTATTAGAATTTTATATTATTATAATCTATTTATCCTATAACTATATGTTAGATTTTTTGGATAGTTATAATAATATATATTTTTAACTATTAATGCAGTATAAAATAATATTAAATATAGATTAAATTGCATAAATAAACCTTTTTTTAATCATATTACAATAATTTATTATAATAATTATAAATAAAAAAAATAATTTAATTTAAAATTAATAATAAAATTTATAATAAACTTAAATAAGAAAAATATAGCAAAATAATAATAATAAAATTTAATAAAAATAAATAATTTTTTTTTATAAAAAAAAAAATATAATAAATATAAAATTATATTACATAAAAAAAAAAATGATAATAAAAAATTATATAATAATGCAAAACTTATATAAAATGAAAAAAAATAGGAAAATTAAAAGAATTTTTTTTTTTATATTTTTTTAATAATTTATTTATTATTTCATTTTTTTTTTTTTTTTATTTCATTTTATTTTATTTTTTTTTTTTTTTTATTCTTTTTTATTTTATTTTTATTAATTTAAATTTAATAAATTAAATAGGACTAATTAATTAAATTATATTTGCTATAAATTTAAAAATTTAATATACAATAATTCAAAGATTAATATTATAAAAAAAATATATAAATAAAATTGAAATAGTTTTATTAATAGTTAATTTTAAATTTTTTAAATGTCGAATTTTTAGCAAGAAACTATATTGCTTCATTAATTAACAAAGATATTTTAAAATATATTTTTTAATTTAAATATTTCTTCAGTATTTAAAATATTAAAGCAAAATAGAAATAATTAAATTTTAATATATATATTTTATAGTTTATATTTTTATCATTTAAATTACTAAGCAATAATAAATTTTATATTAATTATTGCAAATTGTCTTAATTATTGGTTATATCGAAGTATAATAAAATATAAATAATATTTTTTTTATATTTTAAAGTTGTAATTATATTGAAATTATATACATTATTGTATTTTATCGATTTTCAAAACAATTTACGAATAAAAATATTAAATATAATTTTTTTTTTATATAAAATATCAATATAAACTAAAATTTAAGCAATTATTTTAATATCTCACTTTCTAATATTTTATGAAAATATCATCTTTTTATAAAAATTACAAATATATATATATAAATAAAAATAATAGAAATAAAATTTAAAAATATATAAATGAAAAAGCTAGAACTGTTTTTTCTAAATATATATTTTTATCATGGTTTATGTAATACTTCGTAAATAAATATAAGATTATTACTCTCCATAATAATTTATTTAGAATTCTGCACGTGAAAATTTTTAATAATAACTATTAATTATATTTTTAGTTTTTAAAATAATAGGTTATTGTTAAATTAAAAAAAACTTATCGAATTTAATTTTAATAAACAAGTATCCCTTTATTGAAGGTCATCTTTTTTAAAAAATAATAGTATTAAAAGTTTGGTTTGTTTTTAAATCTTTTTTATTTTTATAAAAGATTTAGTTTGTATACAAATTAATCTTTGATAAATTTGTATACATACATATATATCTTCAGTCTCAAAAAAAAGTCTTTTGATCTTTGAATTTTTATTTTTCAAAAAAAAAAAAACGCATAATCAATTATTTTTAAAATAAAATTTGGAACAAAATTGAGCTATATAATTTTTATAGTTCTGTATTTGCATATTAATTTTTAATTTATGAATTAAAAAAATATTACCAGAGATTTATATAAAAATAAAATTAATTAAATATAAAAATTATTTTTAATTCCAAACAAAATAAATTAAACTAATATTAATTTTATTTTTTCTATTTTCAAATAAGTATTTTATTTATGCAAAGATATTATAGTAATTACTGATATTCTCCATTATTATTTTTAAAATCTTCTTAAGACTATTTTATAATATGTTTAGCTTCTGATTGTCTTTTATCAATATTGAATAATAATTTTCCATAGAAATTCATACATAATATTTTTTCGATTCCTTAATGATTTTCAAGCATACTAATTATGGTGTTGAATAGCCCCTCTGACTTCAGGTACATATTTGAAATACCAGAATGATGAGCTATATTAATAAGTGGTAAGAACACTTATTATCTATCATGTTGCTCTTATGTTTTTAAGTATACTTTACTCCAATATGTATGTTCTTTTCTGTTTTTTTCAGTATCAACATCTAGTAAATAATCGCATAAACATTTCAAAGTAATAATACTTTCAGCATTTAATATATTTATTTCAGACATATTAGTAATTTCTTAATCATTTTAAATAACAGAGCCTGCTTAATTATTCAAAAATAATGCTTTTTTGAATATTTAATAAGGACTTTAACTTGCTAATGTATGTTATTTTTTAATGTCTTACAAAACATTCAAATTATTGAAATTCGGATATTATTATTACCATATTGAGACTCCTAAATTATTAAATGCTTTCCCTTTTTTAAAATTAAATTTAAATACATATATTATTTTTGTTTATACAATGGTTTTCATTTTAATACTTATTAATATATTCTTTTAAACATTCTTGCGCTTTTTTTGAATTTCTCAGTAATATTTCATATGTTCCTTTATAATATAAATAATTGGGATTATTTTCTAGATATTAAAGATAATTATAAGATTATTTTAAATTATTTGATTCATATGAATAAGCCAATGCATTAATTATATGCTTATCTTCTTTAGTTTTCTCATAAATTTTATAAAAAATGTTATGCAATAAGTCTTTTTACTGAATTTCTTAGTAATTTTTGGCTTATTTTAATAATATTTATATATATATATGATCCTATGTTTAATTGGTTTATTCTAATATTTAAATAACTCGAGAAAAATATTAAGCTGATAATTAGTATTTTTTTTAAATAAAAAAATTCTCAGCTTCAATATATTCAGTAATTTATTGAATTTATTTTATTTAAGTAGAAAAAAAAAATTATTGATTTATTTTATCATTATTATAATATTAAAAGATAAATAAAAAATATATAAATTATTTTTTATTTAATTTTTAATATTATAATTGTAAATTTTTATATTAATTTAAAATTAAGTATTTTAAGGCTAAATATTTTTTTTAATAAATATTTAATTTTTAAATATCTTTATAAATAATTTCTTTTTATTTATTTTAATATAATAATAATTTATTAATGATTTTCTGTCATATTTATTAATTAATCAATATAAATATTTTAATAAAAATAAAATAAAACTAATAATATTAATTACTTTTATTATTCTTATACAAAGTATAAATTAAGAAGTTTAATTTATTGAAATACAAACTTTAATCAATATTAGATATAATTATTTTATATTTTTAAAAATTTTAATATTTAATTTTATTATAAAATAAAAAAAAATATTTAAAAATGACTATAAAATATATTATTATTACAATTTATTAAAAACTTAATTTTTATTTATTCTTTTTATCTTTTTAACTTTGAAATAGAATTATATTTAAATTTTAAATATTATTTTAAAATTAAAATTATTAACTTTGTAAAAGCAATTTTAAATAATATTTTTTTAAAGTATATATTTTTAATTAATTAAAAAATAATGGTGCAATCAGTCACCACATAGCTGTCATTTATTTATATGCGCGTGTTATTATAATGTTTGTATATTTTATATTCATATACCTATTTGACTAGAAGTGTTCATGAAGTACTTGATGTTTGAATTTGATATTTTTTTTTATAACAATAAACCCCCCCAAATTTAATTTATAAACCATCCCAATATATATTTATATTTATAATATATATGATATATTTTTTGTAAACCTGATTTAATTAAACATTTTTTATCATCTGTTTATTGAAATGAAACCTATTGTTTTTTTTTTGAAATTATTAAATTATTAAATATTTTTTTATTTTCATTTCATTTATTTTGAATATATATGCCTTTTCAACGGAGAATTCAACTTGAATATCGGGATAATTTGAATGTTACCTATTAACATTTTTTTTAAAATTTATAAAAACGCAATTATATGACAGCTAATATATATTAAGAAAAATATTTTTATACTGAACGCTTATATTTTTATTATTTTTATGGGTTTCTTAATTAATTATAATTTTATTCTATTTCAATAAACATAATATTATAAATAAATACATATATAAATAAATAAAATAATATTTATTATTTTATATTATCAATTCTAAACATAATACTATTAAAATTTTTATAATAATATAATTTATGTTTTTTTTTTTCCTTAAAATAATAGTGTTTATAATTTAACTTGATATTTTTTAATTAGAAAATTACTTGATATTTTTTAATTAGAAAATTTCTTTTTGGATAAAAAATTTTATTTTATTTTTTCTTTCTTTAATTTAATTTAATTTTGAAAATAAATTCTTGCAAGTTGGATTGATTGTTTTTACATTTCAAAATTTTTAATAATAAAATAAAATAAAATTAATTTTTTATATTAAAGAGGAAAAAAAAAATTAAATATAAAATTTATTTTTTATGTGAAGAAAGTAATATTTAAACTATATTAAAATAATTTAAATAGAATGTTTAACAAAATAAATATTTCAGGTCAAGAAGTTTGTACATAAAAATATATTAGAAATTAAAAATTAAATAACAAAAAACTTTTTTTTTGCTCTGATTAATTAAGATTCCATTTATTTTGTCCAAAAGAAAGAACATATTTTTTTATTTTTACATATATATTAAAAAGAGTTACAATTAATATGAATTTAATTAATAAGGATATACAGTATTAATATTTTTAAATTAATCTAAATGATTTAATATAATTATGTATAAAATTTTAATTTATTTAAATCTATAGTTATTTAATATTTATAGAAATTCTTCTTAAAATAAATGACCATATAATTTTAAAAAGCATTGAAAATTAATAATTTAATTTGATAATAATTAATATGTTTGAAATATCGAATATATTAAGTATGTAAAAATATTATTAAATAATTAAAAGTTATAACAGAATAGAATAAAAAAATAAAGTAATCTTAAATATAAAAAAAATAAATCAATTATACATAAAATAAAATATGAAATAAACAAATAAGCAATGTTAATAAAAATATTTCAACCACCAAATCCGTAAAGAGTTCTTCCTTATCTCTTAAGGGCATAAACAACATCCATAGCAGTTACAGTTTTTCTTCTTGCATGTTCTGTGTATGTAACAGCATCTCTAACAACACTTTCTAAGAAAGATTTTAAAACTTGTCTTGAATCATCATATATGAATGATGAGATTCTTTTAACTCCACCTCTTCTTGCTAATCTTCTAATTGCAGGTTTAGTAATACCTTCAATTGAAGCTTTGTTGGACTTTCTAGAATGTCTTTTAGCACCAACTTTACCCATTCCTTTTCCTCCTTTTCCTCCTTTTCCTGCTGCCATTTTTTTTATTTTTAAGATATTTTTTTTTTAATTATTTTATTGTTTTGATTTTTTTTTTTTAATTATTAGTATTTATCCTTTTTTCAAATCAGATTTCTAATATGATTGGATAATTTTAATTGATATATACTAATAAAATTATTAAATAAATTATTTTAATTATCCAAAAAAATAATATAATCATTTTATTTATCTTACTTTTACTTTTCTTAATTAAAATAAACTCAAATTTATAAAAAACATTAGTACATTTGCTATATATATTACAATAAAAAATAATAATAATAATTAAATAATAAAAAAAAAAAAAAATAAAAATAAAATGGCAAGAACTAAATAAACTGCAAGAAAATCAACTGGAGCTAAAGCCCCTAGAAAATAACTTGCTTCAAAAGCTGCTAGAAAATCAGCACCTGCTACTGGAGGAATTAAAAAGCCTCATAGATTCAGACCTGGAACTGTTGCTTTAAGAGAAATCAGAAAATATTAAAAATCTACAGATTTATTGATTAGAAAATTACCTTTCTAAAGATTAGTTAGAGATATTGCTCATGAATTTAAAGCAGAACTTAGATTTTAATCTTCTGCTATTTTAGCTTTATAAGAAGCATCTGAAGCTTATTTAGTCGGACTATTTGAAGATACTAATTTATGTGCTATTCATGCCAAAAGGGTTACTATTATGACTAAAGATTTATAATTGGCTAGGAGAATCAGAGGAGAAAGATTTTGAAAGTAAAGATTATAATAAAATAAATTATTGTAGTTTTTATTTTATAATTTATATAAAAAAATATTAAATTAAAAAAAAATAAAAAAATATATATATAAAATATTTTTTATTGACTAAATGATATCATAAAAAATTTTAGGGTGATAATAAAAAATTAATAAATTAAGTAATAAAAATTTTTTATATTATACATTTATTGTGTAAATGTTATTTAAAAATTATTTATTCATTAATTTTAATTCAATATATTTAATTTATATTATTATTTAAGGTATTTAAATTAATAAATTAATAAATTAGAATATAATTTATATTTTAATTTTTTTATGAAGAAAGCTAATTTTATTATAAAAATAAAAAAATATATATATATATAAATAAATAAAAAATATATATATATATATATATATATATATATATTTATATTTATATATTAAATTAATTTTTTTTTTTTTTTTATATTATATATATATAATATATTTATTAATTTATATAAAAAAAAAATTAAAATTTTTTTTTATCATTTATTTAAATTTTTTTTTATAATTTTTTTTTTTTTTTTATTATTGTTATTTTTATTGTTTATTAAATTTTTTAAATAAATTTTTATTTATTATTTTTATTTATTTTTATTTTCGAATATTATTTTTATGTTATTTGAATATATAATCTTATTAATAAACAATAAGTATATAAATTCATATTTGCTCTTCTAATTTTTTATTTTAAAATTTTAAGTTTTATATTATAAATAAAATTTATAATTTTTTTTAATTATTTATACTGATTCTTACAATACGAAATATCAATACTATATGATTTAAAAACGTTATTATATTCCTCTATTAGAAATATTTTTTCATTATACCTTATATGTATTAATTTAGTTAAAAAAAATTTTTTTATTATTAATTTTATTATTTATTTGTAATTCATACTTTTTGTAAACAGATATGAATATAAAAACTAATAGATTTTTTTAAATTATATTTTTTATAAAAAATCTTAATTTTGTTTATTATTGTTTTAAAAAATTTATCATCTTAAATATCAATGTCGCCAAAAATAAAACTTAAAAAGTAATACTTCTATATAACTATTATTTATTAATAACTTACAAATATATACTTATTTTAAAAGTATTTAATTTTTTTTTAATTTTAATTTTGATTTTAATTATCTTTAAATCATTTTATATCAAATTTAAATATAAAAGATCTTTTGAATTCTTTTTATATTAAATTTTCAATTTTGATAAAAAAACAATATCTAATAATTGCAGGCAAATATGTATCTATATTTATATCGCTAGATCATTAATAATTAATTACAAAAAAGTGTTAATTTAAAAATTATTCTATAAATTTAAATTATAAAAATATAATAATATAAAAAAAAGCTAAATTATAAATTAAAAAAAATTAAAATAGTCTAAAAATATTTAAAGAAATTATATAAAAATAAATTAAGAATAAATTAAAAGCAATTAATTAGATTCATTACATATAAATAAAAATACATTTTATTTATTTTTATTCAAATTAAAAAAGTAATTATAAGTTTTTAAATTTGATAATTTTTTTTTTTAATTTTTATAAAAAATATAATTAAGGGTGTTTGAGTTGTTTATTGTCTAAAATTGAGAAAGTTACCTTAATAAGTAAGGAAATATGTTATTTTTAAAATAGAGAAAAACAAAAATGCAATATAAATCGTTAATAATCAATTATTTTATTTTTAAAATTAAATAAAAGTCTTAATTATTAAAATGAAAATAAATAAAAATAACTAAATTTTGTTTTTTTATGATTTTTCATATAAAATTAATATTATTTATAATATATTTTTAGTTATGTATATATTTAAAGTAAATAATTTTCTAACTCTATTTGTTAAGAAAAATAAATATAAAATAAAATAATAAGTAAAAACTGAAATTTAATGAATGAAATCGATGTTAAAAATTTAGTATAAAACATAAAACTATAATCTTCAAATCTATAAGTAATTTTTAAAATTACAAATATGTTATTTGACTTTTATAAATAAAAATTATATATATTTTATTAATTAACTTTAAATTAAAATGAAAATAGAAAATGCTTGAGAAATCTAAATAATCTTAAAAAGTTTACAGATAGGGTGTAAAATATTAGATATTCTAAAATTAATAATTTGATTTTCAAGAAGAATTTTAAAAAAGATTATTTTCTTAACAAATAAATAATTAAAATAATTATGAAATATAAAATAATAAATTAATATTTCTTAATTCAAATTTAGTAACCCCGAATGGAAAAAAAGAATATCCAAATTAAATGACATAATATGAACAGAATTTGACTGATAAAATTGGTTAAAAGTTGAATTCTAATGTTATTAAAAATTAATACTTAACGTTAAATTAAGGCTAATAAAAGCAATATTTGAAATAAAATATAATTAATAACTAAATATAAAAAAATCAAAATTAAATAAAGAAATATTTTTAAGAATACTAATAATTTGAATAGAATTATTCAGATAGTGAATTAATTGATAAAGATTAATTTGATGTCAATTAAGATACTTTAGTTGATTATTTTTATGATGATGAATAATGGAAATACAAATTTTAAGGAAATATTAAGAATGTTAAAAGCGAAATATTTCATAAAAATAATAATTATAATACGCCAAAAATAATAAATGATATTGATGATAGAAATAAATAGAATAATATTGAGAAATAATTATATAATAAATACAAAAATAATAACTTAAGTGAAACATAATTTTAAACATATAAAAATAATTAATATAACTCATAAATTTTATAAAATAAATAAAATATTTATACAAATTTATAATTCAATATCTAAAAAAATAAAATATAAGATAGGTATTAGAAAGATTCACAAATCAATTAAAATTTTAAAAACAATAATGATAAACATACATATTTTGATAATCTAAATGAAGTTCAGAAAATGTTTGGCAAAATTAAACAAAACGATAAAATTTAATAGTAGAATACTTAAGAAGAATAATTTTTAAATAATAACATTACAAATTAAAAAAATATTAATTAAAAAATAAACTAACAAGAAGAAATGTTGAAATTTAAATTATAACAATGTAATTTATTTATAAAATAATAATATTTGATTTATAAAAAGTTACCATCATAATTATATATGTATTTTTTATAGAAATAAAAATAGAAGAAAATTTAAGGATATAAATTGAATCAAGTCAAACAATAATTAAAAAATTATAAAACTAGGTTTAATTAATTTAAGATGAACTAAATGATTATAAATAAGCTTTTAGTTCAATAGTTAAAAAGTGTATTTAAATTAAAAATTAACTTAACACTAATGAACAATAAAAAAGATTAGATTTTTATTAAAAATAAATCATTGAAGAAAAAGTATTAAATTATTTTTATTTTTTCTTATTTTTAAATTTTTAATAAAATAATTTAAAAAAGAAATAAAATTAATCTTTATTTATGAACAATTAAAAATTTAAACAAAAAATATAAAAAATAGCTGAAAATATAAAATAATATTAGATTTAAGAAAATTAGTTTTATAAAGATTTAAAAGTATAATTAACAAAAAAATTTGTTTATTTTATATTTATATATATTTATAAAAAAGGAAAATAATTATAATTTAATATAATAAAATAATTATTTGTAGCAATTATTAAAATTAGCTGTAATAAATGATAAAAGCATTGAGAAAATATAGATTTTAATTGAAGATAATGAAAAAAAAGATTTTTTAAGTAATGTCGAGAAAAGTATAAATAATATTGAAGAAAACATTGATACAAGTACCTTTTTAAAACAATATATTGGAATTAAAAAAGAAAGAGAAGAAAAAATATAATAAGACAACAAAAGTATTTTATCTAATACATATGGATTTAATATTGATGATAGTAATAATAGCGATATGTTAGATTTATATGAAGATACAAACATAAAAAAAGTAGAAGAAGAAAACTAATAAAAACAAAATAATTTAAAAGGAATTATAAATTAAATAAGTGTCTTAGAAGGAGCCTATACAATTGAAAAAACTAAAATTAAAACGAAAAAAACAATCTGTAAAATAGAGAAGCAGCATCTCCAATTAACAATATTAATAACAATAATATAAATAATATTAATAATAGTAGTATTATCAATAATAACTCCGTTTTTAATATTAAAGTAAATAGCAATAAAAGCATTTTTAGTAGTATTAGCAACTTTTAGAATGTAAATGTAAAAAAAGAAGAACATAAATAACAAAATAATAATAATAATAATAATTCCTCTTTAATTAATATTACAAGTATATTAGATAAGAATAACCAATCTTAGTAAAGCAATGTGAATTTCTCTCAAAAAAAACTCAAATAAAACGATGATGATATAATTATTTTAAATTATTAACAAAGTAATTCTACAAAAGATGATATTAATTAAATAAAAGAATATGATAATTGGACAAATGATGAAACCATTTAAAATTAATAAAGCTAATTTTAAAATAATTTGCTTACAAATGAAAGCAGTAAATTTGAAGAATAAATTAACTTTAAAATTTTCTCGACATAAAAAGATTGAATTTATATAAGAAGAGTAGAGTAAATTAAAAAAATATTTAGAATAATTGTTTATATAATTTTTATATTATTTATTTATATAATTATTCTTATTTGTTTTATTATTTTTATATTTTATAAATTTAAATTTTATTGTATTTTTTTTATTATTTACCATTCTTATAAATAAAGTTAAAATATTAATTAAATTTAGATTAAATAAATACTTTTTATGTATATTAATTACTTCATATTTTTTAAAAAATTCACCATATTAAAAATTGCTATTATCGAATTTTTCTCGCCATTTTTTGTATTTTTAAAAAAATAAAAATCAATTTGAGCAAATAATACACTAAAAAATCATTAATTAAACTGGTATTGGGAAAAAAATGCCTGCGTACATTAATTTTCATATATAAGAATCAATTCTTTTTATAATTAATATATTTATCCAATTAAATAGTTTATTTTTTATATAATTATTAATTTTTAAAAAATTTATAATGTAAAATTATTTAACTAATTATTGTTTTCTATAAGACAAAATAAAGAAATTTCCTTAATGAAGAAATACAAACATTTTAGTTCAAATCAAATTTAATTTTTTGTTTGATTTTCAAAACATAAAATAATTTTATTTAAATAATAAAATATTTTTAGTTATTTTAATTAATATTAATAACGAGAATATAATTTATTTTATATATATGATGATGGTAAATGAGGTCTTAAAAAACGATTAGTATTTTATTTTACTTAGAAAAGGTATGACTCAAATAAAATATAAATCAGATGGAAAAATAAAATGCAAATTCGAGGAGAAATTGGATATAAATGCATCTAATTATTATTAATCTGACAATTAGTTATATCGGTATTCTATTATTAGAAATAAAAATAATTAAGGTGAATATAATGATAAAGTATGGAAATAACAAGAAAATTAAATTATAACCGAATAATTAATTATCATAATAATATAAATTTATATTATTTGTTTTTATTTTATTTTATAATTTTTTTAAAAAATTTAATCAAAAAAAAAAAGATGAAGAAAAAACTTTTTGATTTGGTTTAAAAAAAGATTATAGAAAAAATAAAAAATATATGTGCAATTAAGTAATATCATTTTATAATAAAATATATATCTAAGAAATATTTACTTAATTAAAAATTTAAATATTATTATAAATCATAATAAGTAAGTTAATAAATTAAATATATATAAAAAAAAATATATATATATATATATCAAAAAATGAAAGAGAATAAACTGTATATTGGTCTAGAAAAAATTTTAATAATTATTTTAAATTTTTATATATCATTACATTATTTTATTTAGTTAATACATTCTGAAATTATCTAAAGTATATTTAATCCTTAAAAGTTGTTTGTATTCTAAATATTTAATATCAAAGGTCATATTTATTAATAAGATATAATTTGATCTGGAATTTTTGATTTATTTTTAAACTAAAAAAAAGGTTTATCAATATACTAAATTTTTGTAATGTTTTAATTTGAAAAATATAATCTAATATATTATTTAAGGGTTAATTATAATTTTCAAAAACCCAATATAATTTTAAATTTTTTACTTTTGATGGTAATCCAATTATTTTTTTATGAAATATTATGTTAAACCTTGGCTTTTTAGTATATTTGGCCTGCTTTATTAGATTTTTAATGTTTTTTTAAATTAAAATTTAACAATTTGGTTAATATTTAATTGCTTTAAATTAATTATAGTATGTTTTGTATTTTTATTCATAATTAAACTTAAAATATCATTATTGCTTAATTTTTTTCATTCTTTATGAATTTTACGAATCTGATTTATTCCATAAATTAGATTGATTTGTTTATTCAAGGGTTATTTTACTTAAAGATAAGGTAGTACTAACACTAAATCAAATATTTTTTTGTAAGTATTTTTATTTTCTCTTATATCCGAATTGATAAAAAAACAGAAATAAGAAAAAAAACATTTAAAATAAAATAAATTATTAATATTTATAAAATTTTTAAATAATGAAATCTTATTTATACAATAAAATTAAATAAATAATTTAAACAAATAAAAATAATAAATATATTTTTAAAAATAAAATTAAAACCAAAAATCTTAAAACTCTAATATATAAATAAAATTTATTATATCATAAAGCAATAAAATAATATCTTATAAAAAATTTGTAATATTTCAATAATGGATAAGTCTTAAAAAAAAAAAAATTAATTATATATATTTAATTAATAATAAAAAAATGCTATTTAATAATCATTTTTTAATTTATAATTTTTTTTCTTTAAAATTTTAAATTAGAAAATTATTATTTAATTAATAGGCTTTTTTTTTATAATCAGATCTAAATGCAAATTTTTGTGTTAAATAAAAAAATTAAATTTTAATTAATTTTTTTTTTCTTGTTTCATTAATTACAGGAACATATTATATATTCATATTTATTAATAAAATTATTATCGCTTATTTTTTAAAAAAACAGATTGACATTAATTGTTCACAATTATCTTATAGATGAATAAAAAAAACTAATATAAGAATATATAATATGTCTTTAATAAATTATTAATAAAATAAAATAAATAAAAAAATATCTTAAGCTATTAATTTATTTATATTTTTAAGAATATAATGATTATTATTATAATTAGTATTAAATTTAATATTTAATTCAATGTTTTGAAGATAGGAATTAAAAAATAATTCAACTTCTTGAAGGCATATTTAAAAGATAAATTTAAATACATATTTTTAAAATTTTAAGTCAAATTAAATAGTTTAAAAAAACAGTAATTATATAGCTAAAGATGATCAAAATAAATTAAAAATTTTAGATATTAAGAAAAATGCTTAAATATTAATAAAAAAAAGTAAAGAAAATAAAACTAATAATTAATAAAAATTTAAATAAAAAAATTCTAATAATAATTATAAATAAAGGAAATATATAAAATATTAACAAAAAAATGAATTAATGTGAAAATATAATAATAATAATTTATAATATTTTAAATTAAAAATATTAATAATAATATTAATTTATTTTAATAAATTTAATTTTTAAAAAATAATTAAATTTTATATAAAAAATAAAAAAAAATTTTAATAAAAAAAAATATTATAAAATTAAAAGTTTTATGCTATTTTAGTAAATATAAACAAAGAGAGAAAAATCAGTAAAAATTTAAAATAATTTATTAAATAGATAAAAAAATAACGGGAATAAATTGTTTATATATAATAATTACTTTTTATGTGTTTCTTTGTATTTAAATAATTTTATTATTTTAACCTTAATATATTATTATTAAATTTCATTAAAAATAAAGAACTTATGATTAATTTTATAATATTTAAATTATTTAGTTTATTTTTATTTAATATTTTTTTAATAAAATTAATTTTTATTAAATATTATACACACAAAAACATTTTTATAATTAAAAGCGTTATTTATTATTTTTTCTACAAAAATGAATAAGTAAAAAAAATGATTTTATTTACTTTATAAGTTATTCATTATTAATTTTGATAGTCATTTTCATTTATTGAATGGTTTCTATGATATAATAATGAATTTTTTCTAGCAGCTATTTACATTGAGCCTTTTCTTGATAATTTTGAAACTTATATTATTGAAGATTTCTATATTTTTTATATCTAAGGAGAATTTTTAAAAGAAACTTTATCAGTAGTTTAACTTTTAGTTTAACTATCTTTGCCAATTCCTAAACAGTTATTTACATTTATTCCTATACAACCCATTTTTTATAATTTTTTTAATTTATTTATATAATAAAATAAATTTATAATATTATTAGTTAATAAAATAATTTTTTATTTGTATATATTTATAGTATAAATAAATTAAAAATTTGAAAATATATAATAGACAACCATTGTTGTTAAAATTAAATATTTATAAAATAAAATATATATTTTTTTGAATATTAATTATAAAAATTTTTAATAATAATTATTGTTATAAATAAATCTTAACTTCATTTATTATTTGTAATTTAAAAAAATAAAAAACACACAAAGAAAAACAAAAACTTCAAATTTTTGAATTTTTAGTAACTTAATGGAATGCTGCAGCAACTTAGCCAACATTTTTGGTATTTAATCCAGCTACACTAATTCTTCCAGATCCAACCAAATAAATATGATGGTCATTTATAAGACTATTAACTTGATCTTTGTTAACTCCCTTTTTTAATTAAAAATTGAATAAAATATATAAAAAATTGAATTACTGTGTAGGCAAACATTCCTCTTTAATTAGTAATATGGCTCCAATTATGAGTAGATCCAACATCTTTTAAGTTTTTTACAAGAGATTTTCTCATTATAGCTATTCTATCAGCCATTTCCTTCACTTCTTAGTACCATAACTATAATAAATCAGGGTTAGAAAGGATAATTTCAGCTATTCTGGCACCATGTAAAGGAGGAGAAGAAACTTAAGGTCTAATTACTTATTTAACTTAAGAAAGTACGTGCTTTTATTCATTAGCGTCTTTAGTAAGAATCGAAATAGAACCAATTCTTTGACCATATAATCCCATAGATTTAGCAAAAGATTAAGCCAATAACATATTTACACCTGCTTCAGCAAATATTCTAACAGAAGCTGAATCAGCTTAGCAATCACCACTTGTAAATCCTTGATAAGCCATATCCATAAAGCAAATATGATTCTTCTTTAAGAATAAGTCTTTTAATTCTTTCCATTATTCAACTGATAAATCACATCCAGTTGGATTATGAGCACATGCATGCATAACCAATACGGAACCATCCTTCATTTTTGATATATCATCATGTAATTTTTAGAAATTCACGTTCTTCAAAGCGGGATCATAATAGAAATATTCTTTAACTTAAAATCCAGCATCTTAAGCGATGTTTCTATGATTAGGCCATGTTGGATTAGGAATATATACTGTGGTATCAGCTGGAAGGAATTTTTTACAAAAATCTAATCCAACTCTTAAAGCGCCTGTTCCTGATAAAGCTTAAGCTCCTACTATACGATCTTTGTTTGAGTTATAAAAAGCATTTCCATATCCTAATTTAAGAGCTAAATTAATGAAATTTACATTTCCTTCGATTGGAAGATATTCATTGTCAAGATTTTTTTCCATTATTATTTAACTTGCCTTTTTTGTATATTATTTTAATTTCAATTTTGCTTTTATTTTATTTTAATACCTTTTAGACACATTTTAATATTACTGGCTTGCCATTATCATCTCTGTAAGCTCCTACAGATAAGTTAACTTTGTTTTAAGCAGAATCTTTTTTGAATGCTTCGGCAACACCTATGTATTTTATAAAACTTAATTTAATTATTAATTTAATTTATTTTTACCTAGAACTGGATCTGGGGGATTCAAAGGAACTCCACTCCATAATGAAAAACCTCTTTTTACTACTCTTTAAATCATTTTTTTTTTTCTTAGTTTTATAATTTGATATAATTTTATTAAATCTATTTTTATTTAAATAAAAAATAAGAATTAATTAAAATGTTGATGTAATACGTAACTTTTTTAAAATACGTGTTAAATAATATCTTTTAGTGATATATTTTTTTATTAAAATTTAAAGAATTAGCAAAATTATAAATTTTAATAAATATTATATTTATATATAAAATATTTAGAATAATTTAATATATAAATTTATTTTCTTTAATATTTTAAAAATTATTCATTATTTTTTTATTTTATCTCTTTATGTAAAAAAATGAGAATCATTTTTTTAAATTTAATTAAAATCAAATTTTTAAGATAAAGATGATATTTTTTTAATTGTTAAATTAAAAATTTCTTTAAACCTTTCAAAGGAAATTAATAATCAAATCTCTCTTTACTACTAGAATTTATATAATATTTAGATAGGCTTTATTTTTTTTCAAAATCATCATTTATATCACTATTGTTTATCTAACTTTATTAGGTAAAATTTAAGTTTGATTTGTTTTATGAATTACTTTTTTATTAATTTTTTTTTATTAAATTTTATTTATTTTTTATCTTTTTATTATTATTATTATGGCATAATTATTTATTTTTTAAAGGTGTTTTTATTGCTTCATTTTTTATTATAAATAAAATAACTTTATTATTTTAATTATTTACTTGTTTGTGAATAATCTAAACTCTTTTTTTCTTAACTTTATTGACTTTATTGTTTGATTTTTTTAAGTTTTAATAACTTATTTTCATTATTAAGATTGATAAATATATTATTTTTTAATATTTATGACATTTTGTCCAAAATTTATTTATTTTTTAACTATTCTTTAAATTAAAAACCTGCTTCTATATTTGTTGCTTTAATTGAGGATTTTTTTTGAGATTAATTATTTTCATTTGACTTCTAAGTATTTAAATTATTTATTGAAGGAGAAGATTTTCTAGCTTTTAATATATTTTTTTTATCAATTTTATTTTTACTTTTATGATTATTTAACAAATTTAATTTTTCATTGAAAAATTCAACTTTTTTTTCACAACTTTTTTCATTTTTATCATTCTAATCTTCATAATATTATATTATTAAAAAATTAAACAAAAATGTTTTTGTTATAATATAATACTTTGTTAAATATTTACTTAAGAATTATATTCTTATTAAAAACTTTCTTCTTCTAACTTTTTTATATTTAATTTATTTTCAAATTTATATATTTAAATTTTACTATTATTTCTAAGCTTTAATTGTAATGCTTATGATAAGAATTTATTAAATGATTAATATAAGGACTTTTACAAGTAATATGTTAGCAAGAAATCTATATAGCTTTTAAATGTAGAATTTAGCTATTTTATAAATTATAATTTTCTGCTTTTTCTGATTAGTTATTTTTTTCAGTTTCAATTAATCTTAATTCAGTTGCTATCGTAAAATATGTAATTGATAAATAAATTACTTTTTCTAAAATCATTTTTTTTGAAATTTCATACATAATATCTCCAAAAAAAAAACAAAAATCTTCGTATTTAATACCTTCCATATGCATAATTTATCCAATATTAAAGTTTTAAATCCATTAAGATGCATTTTAAACTCCTAAAATAGATCTTTTTGCATCTTCTTTTTAATTTTAAATTTAAGTAAGTTAAATTCTGATATGTTTCTCGTTATTTTCAGGATTATTTTTCCAAAAATAAAGAGTTTTCTTTGTATCTTTGAAATGTTCATTTTGGGATTTATTATCATCATTTATATTTAAAAGATTTTATACTGAAGATATTATTTTGTAAGCATTTTAAATTACTAACTTTTAAAAACAAATTATTTCAGTTATTTTTAAGTTTTTTTCTTAAAAATAGCTTTAATTTTAACTTTTTTTCCTTGTATTTTCATTCTACATATTCTTTTCGCAAAACTAAAAAGATTAATTAAATATTTTTTTTAAAAGATCTAAACATTGGTATCCTGTTTCTAATGCTTTTTCATGCCTTTTTTTATTTATTTTTAAATTATAAATATATTTTATTTAATACTATTCTTATTAAGATAATATCGCACAATATTATAAGTAGGATTTTACTAAAAAAGTTTATTTTTTTATTTTATAAGCGAGAATTTCTTTTTAATTCTAAAAAATATTATTTAAACTTAAGGAATCTTCTTCTAAACTTACTTTTAAGTTGTAAATTACTCCATCTAAATATTAAGAACATTTATCTAAAATCCAAAGGCTATAATTATAGTTTTTTTATTTATAAACACATTTAAAATTGTTACCTTTAATATGTACAAGCTCTATTATATAATGCAACTATTATTAAATTTCTATCAATTTCTTTTCCACAACTTGCTGCAAACTTAATATAATTAATTAAAAATAATAGTTAAATAATAATAAAAATAATTTTTAATTTTAAATATATAAAAAAAATATTAATCATTATATATAAATAGATTTATTGAAATAATGAAAAAAGTTTATTTATATAACTTCAAGCATTTTTTCAACTTATTTAAACATAATTAAAGCTTATTTATTGTTTTCACAATTTAACAATTAAACAGCTTCATCATTCATATTTATTATTTACTGAAAATATTAATCTAGTTTTTAATTTTATTTAAAAAACTAGGTTTAAAACGAAAAAGCTTAATTTAAATTTAGTTTTTACCTTGATTTTAAAGCAATAATTTTTATTTAATTTTTTCGATTTCTTTAAATTCGTCTTTTTAATACCCTAAAGATTTTTAAGAATTAAAATCTTCATTTTCAAATTCATATGAACTGGACGTGTTTTTTAATTATTCTTTCTATTTTTCTACGTTAAAATTAATAGTTTTAAGTTTTATAATATTTTCAATTTTCTATTCACATGATTTTTAGGTGTCTTATAATTTTAAAATTTTATCATTTTTGAAAGTTTACATTTTATTATATAATTTAATATTTTAGCTTTTTATAATTAATAATTTAATATTTTTATTAGTTAAAAATAATAACAATTTAAATTTAAGTTAATATATTTAATTTCAAAATCATTTGTTTAAAATAAACAAATAAATTTCTTATTTTTATATATATATATATTTATATATATATATATATATATATATATATATATATATATATATATATTTAATAATAAGTTTTTTAATTAAAATTTATTTTTTAATTTTATTATTTTTATTAAAATTTATAAAAATTTGTTACTAAAACTTTTTTTATCTCTTTTAAATCAAATATTTATTAATTTTAAATATATTTATTAATTTAAATAAAATATTATTCCTAGAACCTTTTTGGGGTTTATAGCAACTGGATGCTTATTTATTAAACATTTGATACAGCATTCATCCTTTATTTTATTTTTTAGAAGTGTAATGTATATCTATACTCCATAAACTTTTCCTTATAATAAGACTTATATACTTAAATTAAGATATGGATTAATTAAATTTAATTATAATTAGATTAAAATTGTTTCAGAGTGTTATAATGAGTGGAACATTCATTTTATAATTTATAGAGAGATATATTATTGTGAAGTAAAGTGGAGATTTAGATATTTAAAAATATTTTCATAATAATTACCGATATTTAACATTATTTTAGAAATAATTTAATTTAAAAGCACAATTTAAACAAGGAAAAAGTAATTTTATTTTACACAAGAAGATTCAAAATATCATTCTGCTTAAAATACTAAATGTGAAGTTTTAATTATTACTAAAAACTCAAAAAGTAAATTTTCTCAAGATTTAATCTAATTAAAGGATAGTTAGAGGATTAATACATTTTTAAGAAAATTATAATGGAAAAAAATATAGCTATTATTTTTTTTATAAATTTTCAAAATACTAAAATAAAATTAATTTTAAGTATTATTTTAGACAATTTTTAAATATAAAAAAATACCTAAAAATAACAGTTAGAATTTTCAAACTGTGGTAAAAATTTAAGTTTATAAAAAAAATATTAAAAATATTTAAAAACTTAAAAATTATTTAATTAGAATAAGATATTTTCAAACTTAGTAAAAAAATAAAAAAACATGTTTCAATTTATTCCTTTTGCTTATATTTTTTCTGTTTATTAAATAATGTTATTTCATTAAAAAATAAACGCAATCATTAGGATTTTTTTATAAATTTGAGATTGAAATTGAATAATAAATATACCATATTTTAATATATGTGATTCCATATTTTTTTTTATATAAAAAATTAAATGATTTTTTTATACATTATTAATTTTTTTTCATCTTTCATCATCAATATCTTTTAATTAAAGGTTCTTTTTAAAGCATATCATATTCTTTTTTGATGGGATCTACTTAAGGATATTAATTTTTTTAATTTTATATTTATCGGATTTAATAAAAAAATAATCATTAAAAACTGTTTGATACAATTAAATTTTTTTAAATATTTCAAGATAACATATATATAATAATTAACATATGATAAAAAAAATATAATAGAAAATAAAAAAAAATTAAATCTAAAAACATTTAAAATTTTAACTATTTAAATATAGTATTTAATATAAAATATTTATCATAATTTTATTTTTGAATTAGTTTGTTATTTTAAGAAAAAACCAAATTTTTTTAATAAAGAAACAAGCCAAAAAAAAATATATCTATAATAATTTTCATATTAAATTGATTAAAATAAATAAAAAAAATATCCACGCTAAATGCAAAAGCGCAAAAAACAAAATAAATTAAATTAATTCTAATATATTATTTATATTTCAATTCTTCACTAATTAAAATATTCATTTTCAATATTTTAATTCTTATTCTTCATATTTATATGTTATTTATTTTTTAAATAAATAAAAAAAATTATTTAAATATTTTTTTTATTTATTTAATAAATTGATTTTTCAAATTGTACTTTTTTTTAACAATAAACATATATATAACTTTGATTTTGTTATTATTATTCAGCTTATTTATTTAATATATTATATAAAAGATTATTTATATTTCTTTTTAATATTTGATTAGAATAAATAATTACTTTTTATATATATATATATATTTCTTCTTTATATTCACATTATTTTAACTTATATCTTTTAATTTTTTTTATATTCTATATTTTTATTTTCCAAAAAAAATTTTTTGTACATCTAATCTTTACTATTTTTTTGTTCTTAAATTTTATGCATGTATTTCTACTACTATTAATTCTTTAGTACGTTAAAATATCTTCTTTTGTGTTTTTCTCATATCTTCTTATGAATTTAAAGGTTTCTTCTAATATTTTAATTTTAAAATTTTATTTAAAAAAAATTAATTATATAATTAATGG